TTTATACATGTATATGCATAGAGCCATAAAATATGCCAAAAATCTTTATAAACTAGTAACTTAAACTTTTGAAGGCGGGCATTTCCAAAAGATTTTTTTTTTATTTTCTCGAATCATTTTTAGATAATTTACAAATACTTGTTTTAGAATATCTAGTTTGCATTACATTTTGATATAAAATATAAAATACTGATAATTACAAAATCGTACCAGTTTTTGCATAAACTACAGACTTTTTACTCTATTCTGAATGATAACCTGTGAAGTTCACATATATTGTAGAAGAAGAACAACAACGCTTAATTTTTAAGTTCCTCGTGATTAACATATAAACAAATATACGTGTCACAGGCTGCATCAGTACTAAGGGTGTAGTACTTAAGTACCATTACCAGTACTTGCCAAGTTATGCAGTACCATTACTAGTACAAGTACGTACTAGATTTTAGCTAGGTACTGCAGTACCAGTACTTTTTGGGGAAAGTAATTAAGTATCAGTACCATTACTTTTATATATTCATCAAAGTTTGGAAAAATACACAGTGTCAAACAAAATAATTGCTAACATTATTCAGCAAAGAAAAAATAATTACTTTTATTTAAAGTTAATATTACATGTTTACAACTTTAATGATTGAAGATACTTTTTACAATCAATATTTACCACATATATTCATGTCATATCTTATTGTTTAGTAACCAGTTAACTGTATAAATACAATCATCTTTCATTTAAAACACAACAGTCTTTTGTTGCCTTTCACACCTCTGTTCAATTTATACCAAAGTAAATTACAACTTTTTATGGTGCTAACAATATCACTTGAAATAGGATTATTTAGAATAGAAGCAATTAATTAGTGTTTATTTTCTTCTTTTTTACTAGTAAATACAAAAAAATAAAATATTGTAATAAAGATATTTTAAAGTTTAATAGATAAATCTTCTTCGCGCGTGTTTTTGTCTTGCGACCTCGTCAAGTGAAAAGTCGAAAAAGTTAAAATGGCGTGGGCGCGCAGCGAAAACACGATTATTAGCTATAGCAGCCTGGGCGCTCATTAGTGGGTTTTCGCTCCGCGCCCCGCCCGTTTTATTTCTAAAATCTCGAAGTTTTATTTATTAAACTTTGTCCTGCGCTCCCCCTAATTAGCGTGTTTTCGCTCCGCGGACCCGCATTTTTAACTTATTATTCTCGACTTTTTGCTTGGCGGGAATGGCACAAATCAGTAACCACAATAAAGCACATTTAAAAACATATACTCTATCTTATTTATGCAAACTGAAATAGATATACGAGAATAACATGAAGTTGAAATTAACCTTTCTGGAGTAATGGTAGATTAAAGGCACATTACAAAATTTAGCATGTTAAAGGTACAACACTAAATTTATCAGCATTAAAGGTACTGCACCATATTTTCTGAAAAGATAAATACAACATTTTCAGACACAACACAAAATTCAGGTTAAATATCAAAAAGAAATGCATTCAATATAAATTATTACAACAAAGGCATTTTCTTAACATTTCGAAATACAATATACATATTTCATCTACTTGTTTTCTCTCGAAAATCTGAAATGTAAATTGCATACACAGAAATAATGATTTCTGATATATAGATTTCATGTTTAAACTGAAACTTTATTACAATGCTGTAATGTAAAACACAGAAATTAAGTTCAGTATACAAAATACATACATGTATAAATCAAAACTGATATAAAATATCTCAATCATTTATATGTAAATCAAAAGTCATATCTCATATGTGACATTCTCTCCTGATCTGCAAAAGTTGTCACGATTTTGATTATAATCAATATTTGCTGCGATGGGTACCTATCTGGTGGTCTTCTAACCCTTGATAAGCTTCGAACAATACTGGAATTATCAGTAACAAGAGAAAAAATGTTACCATTAGAAACATTTGAATTACTATTTGATAAAATAATAATATTAAGGGAACTATTTGTTTGATTTCTACCTGAAAAAATAGGATTAAAGTTATCAACTGTAAAATTATCTCTAAAATGTGAATTTAGACAAACATGTTGACTCCTTAAATTCCTTGAAAAAAGATGACGTCTCTCCACTAGTAGATAACAACTGATCCTCACCAAACAACACATGAATTGTTGATTGGCTGCACCGGTCTACGGTCTTAGTACACGGGGCTTAGATGCTGGCCTTCTATGTGGAGGGATGTATCTAGAGTGGCACTGTCGGCGTTGCAGTCTGAGTAGGAACCTTGCTCTTGTACAACTCCTATAGTTTGTTGTTCCCTCTTTTCTGGTCTGGCCTTCGGCTTAGAAACCTTCTTTTCACTCTGTGTCTCATTAATTGTAAGTGTACGGTATAGACATCAGAGGAAGAAGGATGTTTCTATGTAGGGTCTTCTCTTTTCCCTTGCCAGTTTCATGCTTCAGTTTGTAAACTGGAATGTCTTTATTGGGATGCCTACTATGATGTAAGGTTCCTTTTTCCACTTGTCGTCTAACTTACCTTTAGGGGTAACATTCCTTTATCTGGACCCTGTCTCCAACATCTATAATAGAGTTTCGAACCTTAGCATCATAGTAGGTCTTGTGTTTCTGTCCTTGTTTGAATTAGGTTTCTTGTGGAGTCTTACAGGCAAACTCAATCCTCTTCTTCAACTTGTCAAACTAAACAAACCGAATAAAAACGCACGTGCACGATGTTTCCGCTTAATTAAAACCATGGAAAGCCACATCTGCCATTAACATATAATTTTAATCTGTGACATACGTATTGTGGCATGAACGTACAATGACATGAAGGATAATACGTTACCTTTGTTAGAAACATTTCATTAGTTTGGAATTGTAAGGCAAACATATAATAGTTCGTAATATGTATATTTCTTATATCTTGATTAACAGGACACTTAAACATAAAAATTGAACTCATCCCAAATTTCACTACATAGCATATCAAAGCATAACATAGCATAGCATAGCATATCATAGCATAGTATAGCTTTATACAGATCTTTTTTAGAATCTGGTTGTATTTTTGTACGGTAAAGGTCAAAGTAATGATTATTGTTACTTTTACATGTACATGTATATAGAAATCTTAGATATTTGATAACCGGCGCATCTGCTTAGAAGAAAAAATAGTTCTTTGTTGTCATTGTAAGAGTTGGGTCGAGTTATTGTTTTACATTTTACATCCTCTACATTTACTATATACTATAATTATATCAATCTTGGATATCCCGAGCTATAATGTGCAATTTATTAAGCGCAAATGTGTTAGGTATTTACAAAAAGTAATGTTTTTTTTTCAGATAGTTTGATGGTTGTCGCGTAAAAACTTAAATGTCAAATTAAGGCCAGGCATCCTAGCTTGTGCGAAATGTTGCGGTTTCATTGCTATTGGCCAGTCAGAACCCGTTACAAAATACCGAACAGCTAATTTACCGTGGCTAAGAAAGCAATCGAAATACAGTGGAAAGGTTTGAACCTCGAATCTTGCGTGTATCAGATGCTTCTGACGACTGTGAGTGATCCCACTTAAAGTCTTTATTGATGATATTCAGTAAATGCATGTGATTTTGACTCGGTTGACAAACACGTATAAGTCTATGTTTACGTTCCGAAACATTGCCGCAATTTTGTTATCCCGGGTAAGTATGTACGTACTAACGGCCTGAACAATTTTTAACCTTGTGCATACGCTAACTTGAGAGGGTTGCGGTGGCCTAGTAGTTAAGGTGTCTGCCTCTCAACCCAGAGATTATGGGTTCGAGCCCTACTTGTGTCACGACCATGTTTCTCCATATGACACCAGTACTGGTTGGTTCCAGGAAGCGGACTCGAAAGTGATAAATATAAGCAAGAACTTGTTTCGCAATCGAGCTTAAATAAATATGTTTAAACCAACTTGAGAGGGAATAAGCACTGGTTTATTTTCTTTGGTATGACCGGTAGATTGATGTTTGAGTCATAGGTCAAAGGTCAAGGTAACCATAATCATTTCATGTAAAATCCTTGTCTGATGTTTAACTTGAGAAGAAGTAAGCCATGGTTTATATAACCTAGTATGTACATTGAACCTGATCAGTAGATGACAAATAATAATTCTAAGGGCATTGGGTCACAAATCAGGGCCACAATAACGATAAATGTAAAATCATTGTCCTATCAATAACTTTCATATATGGCACAATGACAGACAGGTGAAGTAGGGGCAGCATTGTCCTATGGCACATTTCTAGTTATCTAAAAAAATCATATACATTGTGTAAAGTGTAATCGGATTGATAAATTATCTCGTGCGCACGACTAAGTTATCTCATGCGCACGACTTAGTAACTCGTGGTCACGACATAGTATCTCGTGCACACTACTTTGTAACTCGTGCCCACGACACACTATCTCGTGTACACTACTTAATTATCTCGCTCTCGCGGCTTAGTAACTCGTGGCTGGCTACGACAAAGTATCTTGTGTGCACCACTTGTGGCCTTGACATAATACCTCGTGCGCATGAGATAAATAAAAACGCACTTTTGTCACCTCTATGCCACCATACGAATGCGCTCGTTTCCTGAAAAGAAAGGGCCATAGACCTGGTGGAGGCTTAATACAAACGTGAAATAGTGATGAATGTTTTTTTTATTTATCTGGACAATTGTTTTCACTTCCCGCCTTTCTCTCCACTGATAGTATATTTGAAGTGGCCCATATTTCACTGTATATTTTTTAAACATTTAAGATGAACACAGACTTTTTATATCGATCTGGTAATATTTTTTCTTACCAGGTTCGATACTTCTACCTGTGGTAAAAACTAAAATTATTTCATTTTAAGTTGCATGACTCCACATGAGACATGAGGAATATTTCAAAATAATCAATTTTATTAAAGTTTAAAGCAGTAATTCAAGATTCATGTAATAATTTACATGTTGTATGTTGCATTATAATTAATGATAGATTTTAATCTGGACACTAAAAAAACAACGGGAATCGAAATGAAACACATTTAATTTACGAAATGTAGCTATTTCATTTGTATGCAACTTTAATGGAACAACAGTTGTAAACAGTTGACTTAACTCACACAATTCGATACATATTGTATTTTGCTAACACTAGTGCTTAAGATTGTGATAGGATTTTACTTCGCACGACTCTCTGCCTTTTATCTTATAGAGAAGGACCCCAGGCACTTGAGAATCGCCAATCTTCCGTATGCTAGCTGGATAGTTTCCCCACATGAACGAATGTCCCCGGCGCGATTCGAACCCACAGTGGTCTTATACCAACGGTGTTAACCAGTCGGTAAGGAACGCCCATCAGGGAGCTTCACGATGGATTTCAATGGAAAATATTATTACTCCTGAGCCAAAGATATGTAAGCTAGCGTCTTCTTATAACGTAGAATCAAAATATGAAGTTTGAAAGCAATGTTTGGGTCAAATAGTTTCTTTAATGCAATTTCAGCGGAAAATATCAGCCTTTCAACGTATGAAGCGGAAAGTTTTTTTTAAAATCCTTTCAACTGACGAAGCCAAGCATATGCGACATTTGACTTTATACTATCAATCCTACGTAAACATCCTTAATGTTGAAATTAAGGTTGTTACTATACTTAAGTGAAATTTTATATTTGTATATGATTATCTTCTAAAACAATTTTTAAACATCGAAGAATATGTAAAATATGTACAGCAAATATTTGTCCTCATTAAAATACATGCATTCATTTCTTATTGAAAAAATGACTCAGAAAATAAATTTCTAATTACCTCCCTTTATTTACGAGAAATGTAAATTCGGTACTATCTTAACAAATAATGCTATTTAGAACTTACAATATTGATGAATCTTCATTTGAGCATTATATAATTATATGATATAAAACAACAAAAAATTGAGTTACAGGATCTTTAAGTGCCCATTGAAGTTATCATGTATAAACTTCCTTTAAGTTTCTTTTTCCGCTGTTGATTTCTTCTATCAAGTGTTTCACATGTAGTTACTAACTTATAGCAAAACATATTGAAATGTTAATGTTTTAATACATGTATTGATTTAAGCGACTTAAAGATTCTGAATTACGGAACGTCGGTGGTTCTACTCAGGTGCCAATTCGTGCCTGAAATAATGCACGAATAATGCACCTGAGGTCTTCCTCCACCAGTAAAGCTGGAACGTCGCGATATGACCTATACTGTGTCGATGTGACGTAAAACCCAAAAACAAACAAACAAACAATAAAGATTCTGATATGTTTTAAAGCAAAAAAGGTATCATCGGTTTGACTCAGCCTGATCCGAAATATGACGTATACAAGTTCAAGCTCAAATAGTTTAAGTCTCATCAAATGTACGTCACATAAACAACAATCAAAGTGAATAAAACTGTGATGATAGAAGTACATATTCCATTCAATAAGAATTATATGAGACGTGTGAGCAAAGTATATGGATTGTTTAACTGTTAGAATTATTTTCAATTGTTAATGTTTTTGAACTACACTCTTCTTTCATTTGACATATCTGTCATTGAACATATTTGTTTGTTTTAGTTCTAACCATATGTTTCTGTAATTGACTGAATGAAGTTTTGTATTGTATTGTTAAAACATTAATATACGTCAAAGAAGGGTCGGTAAAATTAATAGGCCCTCGGGTCCATTATTTACCTAGTGGATCGGTGATCACCTTCTGGTCGTACTCTGTCTGATTACAACATTTAATATTACATAGGTAATTACTAATTGAATTTAAAATAAATATATGAAATTACGTTCAATATTATCATAAACAAATTATTCATTTACATTCCCTTAACAATAAAATATTTCAGGGTAGCAACATATATAGAATAAAACTGAATTAAGCATTTTCACTTCGAATCTATCCGACTTGACTGTTAATATGAGATTTAAAGGTTTTGTATCCAAACCTTAAGATATCGTTTAAGTATAATTTCCATTGACAATCTACATAATTCTCCGTGCATTCTCAATTCATTCTAAATACCCCCAATACTTCTTTATAAAAATATTATGAAGTGTCTCAATATCGTGACTCTCGTGGAAGACATATACCTCAGGGAGATGCGGGCTCCACTAGTGATACAAAGTATTGCAAACATCATGTATATGTAAATTAATGATGTAAATAAATAAATAAATAAATCTATATAACACTTAATATCATTGCAGAATGTAACACAAACATTTTACTTGTAATCCAAGACTGTTTAGAAAAAAATCAAACATCTTTCTCCCGTTGGTACAATATTTGAGTGGCGCTTCTTTGTTGACTTGAAAGTTCCTCAGGCACATCACCATTTAAATGTTCTTCGTTGACAGAATGTGTGTCAGAGACTAGCATTCCTTGAGTTGCTGAACAGACTTGTTCGGCGTTAAGCTTTTTCTTTTCACGTTCCCTTACGCGCTGTAGTAATATATAATAAAACAATACAATATGTTGACAATTTAGTCATATACATGTAATTCAATTTCGTAAGTAGTTAAAAATGAAACAAGGCAGTCTGAAAGACAACTAAATCCCCTTCCGCAGCAGACATGAATTTGTACTTCTTGACCTTGAAGGCTTTAACCAACCATGACCTTGATGTTGTGCCATGTATATCATTAGAACATCTGCTCATCACAAAAGTGTTACAGCTACTGGCCATTTATCTTCCATATTCAGACAGATACCTTTGTAGATCCTTTTATTTTGTTTTTAGGTCAAGGTCTTGGTAACTATGATGTGTCATATAAGACTTCATATTTTGACAAGTTTCTTACATATTTGGTTGATCATGCTTTAGGCAAAATTGCTGTTCCGTGGGCTTAAGTGATAAGTCCTGTTTAAACTTACTTATCTATTGTGACTTTTATGTATTACATGTTTTTGTTATAGTTTCCATGCTTTACAAATAATTCAGGTGATAATTACAAGACTGCTGGATATGTTATAATCTTGACATTGGATGTAGCCACCTGGTTGTTGCCCCCTTGTAGGTGCCGATGATAATGAAAATTTGTGACAATATAATTTTAAAAAAATCAGTAGTTAAAAGTTATAAAGAGGACACAAAATTGTTGACATTTAACATTTGACCTCTATTATGACATATACCTTGGGGGAATCAACCTGAATATTACGCTGCACACATCATATCATTATTGTGACCATAGGTGTAAAGTCGTTTCAAAAACATTTAAGTAGTTTGAAAGTAAAGCAGCAAACAGGAAAATGTGGACTTTATCATTTGACCTCTTAATGTGATCTTGACCATAGGGGTAGCAAGCTGGATGTACCTTGGGGACATGATGGGAATCATTTGTGCCAAGTAATTTTAAAACCTTTAAATACATAGCTGAAATGAAAAATAGATGTTTTAAAACTGGAGCTTTTAGTGTGACCCTGACCGTGAGGGTAATGCCTTAATTGTTGTGCTCTGCACAGGGTGTCATAATGGTTATAATTTCTGGAAAGCTATCTTAAAAAAAACATTGCAGTGGTTTAAATGTTATGGAGCCGACACAAAATGTAGACTTTTAACACTTGACCTTGAAGTGAGACCTTGACCTTGGGGGTAACAACCCAATTATTGCACAATGCATATCGTCTCATAATGGTGATCACTTGTGCCAAGTTATCTTAAAAAGCGGTTTTAAAGATTTGGAACGGACACGATATATACTTTTTATCCTTGAGTGTGACCTTAACCGTAGGGGTAGCAACTAAATCATTGCGCTCTGCACATCGTCTCATAATGGTGATAACTTGTGCATAGTTATTTCAAAAAAAAATTCAGCGGTTAAAATGTAATTGAGCGGACACGAGTGTGATGATGCGGACGGATAGGCGGACTGACAGACGGAGGCCATTCTTATAGTCCCCGCCTCGCTATGCGGAAGAAGAATAAAAAAAAGATTTATGTTATACTAAGCTATGTACTTGTTTTGCTATCCGTGAAATAAATACCATATCACTCACATTGACTGTTATAGCTTTGCCGATCTTTTGATAAACGGTTTAACTTCATAATTTCATAATTTTGTCATTTTATTAAAAAAAGTTGCTTTTTTTCTCTTAATGGCATATTTCTCAATTGTAGAATAATTGTCTTAAAATGTTTATATAAAGCAATGATTTGTATTACAGAACATACCCTCTGTAGGATACTTATCATAGTATTTTCAGTATGCCAATAATCTTTCATAACTTCCTCCACATCATCAGGATCAAATCCCATAGCAACAATTTTTGAAGCTTTTTCTTTACGCTCGGCATAATAGAGTTCAAAACATTTTCTATCAACTTTTGCCGTTTCCTCCTCAGCTGTCGATAAAGTAAAAATGTCACTGTGTACGATAAGGTGCAAATGAAACGTTTGATAGTATTTCAAATGTGACGAATGAAGAGTATTGTAATCTCATTATACACAAGTAAAGATTACTGTACATAATCGGCACTGGAAAGAAAATCTTAAATAAAAACTCGTTACTTGTATTTATGGGATTTTTGTATTTAGATAATGAATAAGCACTGGATTCATGTAAGAATTAAGAATTTTAAAAAATCACAAAAACATTTGTCCCAAGCTTGTTTTATGAAACAAATCGTAATATACCACAATTGTTTGTCTCGGTTAAACATTTACTTTTTAAAAGGTTTCCTTTTTTGTAATTCTTTATCAACATATTAATAAACTTCAAAGTTTTGAATAAATAGTTGCTCTTTACAGAAACACGGGAACTGCGGTGTTTGGAATTTAATTTAGAAGTATTTGGAAACAAAATACTCTAAAATCATTGATAAATAATAAATTCTCTCACCTTGCACTTTCTTTTGTCGCTCAGCTTCCACAATCTGCCTCATAAATGTTTCAAAGTCATCAACGGTTTCAATTTCTGTAGGTAACTGACACAATTCAGTGAGACATCGAAAAGCATAGTTTCTGCTGTCATTCTTATCATCGCCTTTATACTTGTTAAGGTTAATATGTTTATTTACTATACTTGCAACAAAATATTGCTCTAAATTTAAACAAACATTTAGATCATTCATTACTGATTTTAAACACTCTTTAATGGATCTCTCGTCATTTTCACACTTCACATCATGATGAATACAAACTGTTTTCAGAGTGTATGAAGTTAGTGTGATATAGGATGGATACATTTCTGTAAATAATTTATTGACATATTTGAGAAAAACATAGATGATCTTGTGCTCGGGTTTCATGACAGTCAATATATATTCAACCTCTGCTTCCGTTACAGTCACTTTAAAATCAGATTCATTTTCAGTTCCGACAAACAACAAAGATTTGCGTCGAAGGACAAGTTCAGAAAACTTTGGACCAACGCAGTCATCTACTCTGAAACAATCGTGGATTTTATGATATCTTATTGCTGGTGAAACATCAACCGATACCTCTCTGTTCCCGTATTCAAAGTTTAAGATTACATTAGGTGCTTTAAAAAGAGCTCCTCTGAAATGTAAATACTTATCATACACTTTAGATAAAGGAATATTGCAATCGATGTGAGTTGGTGATGCGAATGAGCGTTCTATTTGTTTCGCGCTTTTGATAAACTTTTTCAAAGCTTGTATAACAACATGTCCAAATCTGTTTTCATTCTTTTTGGGAAAGTTTATTGGCTGAAAACATTGCAGATGGCCGTCTTTACTAAGTCCGCTCCATTTTAACTTTAAATTTTCGTCTTCTACTACGATTTTTACCAAACCTTGATTAATGTCGCTTTCACTTACATCTATCTTAATCACATCCGGTTTAGACAATTCTTCAATAACAGCCAAAAAGTCAAATTCGTCTGCTCGTATTATTTTAGTTCCTTCGGCATAACTTCCAACTGGAATTAATTCTGATACTTTATAAAGGGGGTTAATTTGTTCTACCAGATAAAGCCAGGTCTCAATATAGTATCTTATATCATCACAAAGTCTTTCTGAATTCTTATTTTTTGTCTCTGTCTGAGCTTTATTGACTACACCTTCAACAAAAAGCGAAAATTTCAAGTTGTCTTCAAATTGACTTTCAGCCATTTCCTGCAACATATTTAGGCAAATAATTTGTCATACTCATATGTTAGTAGACATTCGTATTTCTTTTTTATATATTTTTGTCAATATCCAATACGATTCAAATTCAACATGACAGTCAGCTATCATAATGCAAACTTTTCAAATAATAGTTTTCAAAAAGCCTGCTTTTACCAAAAAGTTATAACTTATGGTAATTGTAATTGTTTTATCTCTAAGAAATAAAAGACAAAAACATATATTCTAAGCAAACACTGTATTGTATCGAAAGAAAATGATTCTATATCTATAAGACAGTCACATAAATAAGTAGGTATGTCGTTTAAAAATGTACATTTCATCCGGTAATGTTGTGGTTTCAATGCTTTCGACAACTTAATAAATGTTGCAAATCATTTTACTACAATTTTACAACTGTAGCTGCTTACCTTGTCAGTAAATTACCGAAACCTTTCGGCAATTATTTGTTTTTTTATAATATTCAAAAGAAGGGCAACGTTGTCGCAAAATACGCCGTCACAAAAGCTTTAGACAGAAATGTGGGCATTAAAGATATGTATATAGGAGATATGCTCTGGGCAATATCCGGACTATATCTGGATATTTTATTATCCCTAGTGACCCTGACCTTGCAAACTATTGACCTAAATTACCTTGGTCTCACTTGTAGTCATGATAGTTATCATTTGTGTTACAATCCACCAATAAATGATGACTAGATGGTCCCTGTACACATCTTCTGTTTCATAGTTACTTTTATCTGTCAATGAGACTTTGACTTGACAGCAGGGACTTGGATTATGTACGCAATACTTAGCCTCACAATGGTGAACATTTGTTACAAGTTGCATTAAAATCCCCAAATGAATGTATAAGTTTTGCTCCAAACAAGCATTTTACAATTACCTCTAACTGTGACTTTAACCTTTAACCTATAGACCTGGTTCATGACCGTGACACTGCTTCTCAAAGAATTTCTAAGAAATTAAATTTGAATCCCAACATGCGTGTAGGAGATATTCTCTGGACAAAATGTCTTTTTTATTATCTTAAGTGACATTGACCTTGAATATATTAAATTTAAAGTAGACTTTGTGATAAATAGTAACCAAGATAATAAGTCGAAATCATATTACCATTCAAGGATTCTGTGACCTTGACCTTGCACCTAATGACCCCAAAATCAATAAGGGTCATCTACCACTTATGAACAATCAATATGTGTAATATTAAAATTTTGTGTGTATACTTTTCAAGATAATCAGTGGAAACCATTCTGACATTTAAGGCCTTTGTGACCTTGATCTTTGACCTAGTGATCCCAAAATCAATAGGCGGTATTTACTAGTAATGACTAATTATTATGTGAAATATGAAGACTTTGCGATGAATACTTTTCAAGATTATCAGCTGAAAGCATTTTGACATTTAAAGCCCCTGTGACTTTGACCTAGTGACCCCAAAATCAATAGGGGTCATCTACAAGTTATGATTAATCAATATGTGAAATTATGAAAACTTTGTGATGAATACTCTTCAAGATACTCAGCAGAATCCGTTCTGACATTTAAGACCCCTGGGACCTTGACCTTTGACCTAGTGACCCCAAAATCAATTGGGGTCAGCTATTAGTTATGAGCATTCACTATGTGAAATATGAAGACTTTGCGATGAATACTCTTCAAAATAATCAGCGGAAACCATTTTGACATTTCAGGCCCCTGTGACCTTGACCTTTGACCTAGTGATCCCAAAATCAATAGGGGGTATTTACTAGTAATGACCAATCATTATGTGAAATATGAAGACTTTGCGATGAATACTTTTCAAGATTATCAACGGAAACCATTTGACATTTAAAGCCCCTGTGACATTGACCTTTGACCTAGTGACCCCAAAATCAATAGGGGTCATCTACTAGTTATGACCAATTACTATGTGAAATATGAAGACTTTGTGATAAATGCTTATCAAGATAATCAGCGGAAACCATTTTGACATTTAAGGCCCTTGTGACCTTGACCTTTGACCTAGTAATTCCAAAATCAATAGGGGTCATCTACTAGTTATGACCAATCACTGTGTGAAATATGAAGACTTTGTGATAAATACTTTTGAAGATAATCAGCGACAACTTTGTGGTCTATCGACGGACAGACCGACAGACAGACAGACCGACCGACCGACAGACAGACCGACCGACAGACATTAGCAAAACAATATACCCCCTCTTCTTCGAAGGGGGGGGGGATAAACATCTTTAAGAGCCAATAAAAGTAATCTAGAGGTGTTATCACTTCGAAAGTATTTCAAGGAGTGGTCAGAGTTACTGAAAAAATGTTATACCCCAGAACCGAATCACATCACCAGTTCAATCACCCATAACAAAAGGACAAAAGACAAATATAAACACTTAACACCACAATACTCGTAGATCTTGTCTGGCCTTTAAGATAAATTACTGCAAACATTCTAAATAGAGAACATGGATTATTTAACCTTATCTACACATTAAAGAATAAACCCAAATTTCTATTATAACTGAGTTTCCATTAAAGCTGAATATAGTTGATAACTTGATATGTTGGGACATTCAATGTGTTCTTTTCGGATTAAAGTTTGCAGATTAAAGTCTGCTGTTCCGTTCAATCAATAAATTCTTAATAAAGATTACAAGTAACTAATACATGTATATACTTTCGATATAATAACGTATTTGTTAATCAATTTAAATTTTGGCTCTTACCTTACGTACTTATAAAATTAATAGATATTTAACATCAGTGTTCAAAAGTAATGAAACACATCTGAACAAAATAATGTTACTGTCGTAGAATGTACTATAAACGATCACTGAGATCAATTATATCGCCCGTATTCTTTAAGATAGTCACGAAGTAATGTCATCTGAAACTAATTACTTTTACATTCAAAATCTATGCTAAATTCGACACTACTTTAGAATAAAATTAAATATTACCTTACCTTTTTACATCTTAAAAATTTGTGTTTTCCTTTTTTAAAAAAACTGAAAACCTGCTAAAAGGAAGTGTAAATTTAACATTGTGTCAACAATCTTGAATGTTCAATTGATATGTTGGGTATCATAAATCATGCACTTAAAAATTACAGCTTGGTTACGTTATCTTGATTTTCTGAATGTCATGAGAGGAAATCATAGTAAAAGTATTCATACTTATCCTTTGAGTTTGTTTTATAGGCTGTCTTATATCTTAAACTCAATAGTTTATATTAAAGGCACATTATGCCTTAGAAAAACAAATACATTTTTACTTCTGTAGAAAGGGCAAACATGAAAACTAATAATATTAGAGAGTGATACCTGAAGAAAATAGCGATAAATGTGAAATAATTTGTCAGTTAAGTAACAAAATGTAAACAAAGCATTTTTTAACTTCCATACAAAATACCATTTTTTGTAATTAATTTGTATGGAAAATAATTGTCTCTTTAAAACGTCAAGGACATAGACAATATTACATCCGAACGCAAGCGACGATAAAAGTATAAAGATCCGACTGAAAATTTCGCTGCATTTATACCTCATGCTTAGTTTTGTGTTTAATCTTAAAGCTACTAACAAATTATTGAAAACCGGTTGCGCACTATAAATCTATGAACATAAATCATCTGGCGCTGCTATTTGGTTTGACCTGGCTCATTGCTAACACAGTGGTAAGAGTACAGGTGGTATACCCTATTATACGATTAATGTCTAATTATGTCAAATAATTATCTCTCTTTTAAAAGATTTATAGCTATATATTTTGAGATATTTATATAAAATTTATAAAAGGTAACATTATGTTGTTCCACAAGCTTATTGTCGATTTTCACAGAATTTTCATAAAACGTCTCTGTTATAATACAGATATAATATTGTTAGTTAACAGAATAAAATGTCCCGAAGCAAATATTATTCTGCTATTTAGGATATAACATGCTGATAACTGTCCCTGTCATTTATGTTGTCACCACAAGTATACAGATATTATTATTATCAAACACGTAATAGATGTAAAAATTTGATCATCATTATAAACTGTTTTGCTATTTGTTTTAAATGCATTACTTATCTATCGAGATACAGACTAGCTTTATAATAATTTCCTGAACTTGTTATATTGTAGGATTTCGAGGAAGATTTAGCAAAAGAAGAAACCCACAAACATTACTCTGGATAAGAACGTACGGGTCACAATAAAGATAAGCTGTCATGAGCTGTCAGCATGTCCATATATCCTTTACCTAGTACAATTGTCTAACTTGGCACGGCTGTCTTTGTGATAGTGGATATTGTCAACCCGAGAACAATCATAAACCACGAGGCAAACTGAGTGGTAAATATTCCAGTTTAAGGGTTTGCAATATCCACTATCAACTGACGGTAATTTATTTTATAATAACGGACATTAATATATCTACAATATAAGATATTTAAATATTTACACAGTAAGATGTACTTAAACCCCTTAAGAACAAGTAGAATAATTAGTCCAAGGGAGTTAATTAGTACAACATTAAATTACAGAGGTATGTAGGAGTTATGCACCCCATAGTGATACACCAGGAGGTTGATATTCAATTTTTACACTTTTAATGGTTATGAGAGTTTTAAATTAGCGGATATATTTAGGTATAATAAATATATATATATATATAAATATATATAAATATCATATCTCATCAACGTGAGACAAGTGGTTTCAAATGCGTTAGCTGGTTGTTTGTTTACATGAAGAAATGTTTTTCAAACGACATAATGTTAAGAATATTTATCTTTATACTCGTGTATTGTCATTTTTAGGTTTGCTAAGCTGAACGTTTGTATTGAGTGGAAAACCATTATCTGATATAAATGACTTTTTACTGAATAAGACTTCCGTTGTGTTGTCCTCATTAATGAAAGTTCACAACTACTTCGTTAGCTTATAAAATACAATTAGCATTAAACTTACTTGGCAATACAATGATATTTGTGTGATCAGTATTTCACGAAAAAGAGATCTGGAGAAACAAAGATATCTGAACGTTGCAGATTTGATTTTTTATAACATTGACGCATAATCACAACCTCCATGAACAGGTTCAATCAAACTGAGCCTGCAGCATTGTCTTTGTCGCCGATTAAAAACTTCTTTAGTTTCCATTTTTTATTTCTAAAGTAAAAATGAAATAAAAATGTAACCACAAATATGAAATTTGAGGTGAGCATTTTGTGTGGAATTAACATTTGAAGTTTATAAACACCTGTTTCATCGTCGCTACTTGTAGGCATTTTTAAGTAATTATTTATTTATAAAGCTATTATTAAAGTTAAAATTTCTGTAACATTCTATCGAATGTTTAGAAAAGAAATATAAATAATTTTAAATGAGTTTAATTTGTACCTTAAGAGATACAGATTCGAGTGCTAATTACATGTTTAAACTCAGTATACTTATTATAATAATTTGAATCTATTCGTTTTCTGTGTTAATCGAAATATCCGTAAACTAATTAATTACAAGGATAAGTTGAAACCTAGATAATTCAATCTATTTACCAATGATGGAACAATGGTATATTTCCTGACTCGATTTATCAAAAGTGTTGCAGTCCCGTATACTGAATTAGTAAACATACAACGATAAGAAGTTAATGTATCCAGAGGATACCTATTCATGAATTCCTTTCACAGTACCTGATGTACCAATCCTGTGTCAAATAGTCAATTTAACATGTTAGATAATTTGCATACTGATAACCAAAAAACATAGGATTAATAAACGACTGCATTCAAATGGCAGTTTAAAGCCTTGCCTATGGTTTCATATGGATCATTATTTGAGACATGATACAAATACTGGAGTCTATTTTATGGAACGTTTGGCTGATTTATCCGACTTTAGAGATAATTTCCAGCACACTGCTTTATATGTTATTTGATAGAAATGACCATTCTCATGATATGTACATGAACATTATCTGGTGAACAATCAGGGTTTGATAATTCATGTAATTAGGAAATGTATAAACGAGTTCAATTAAACTTAACAAGAAAATTCATGAAAACTGACATTAAGTTTAAGTCTGTGATATTCAATGAATATTTATATAAAAACAACCAGACTCTTACTGGCAGGTAACGAATAAAACAATTGTTACAGTTCAAATTCATACCAAAATACAAGTAAATAATACTGATTTAATAAAGAAGTTTTAAATAGGATAAATAAAAATTGATGGTAACCGTAAATCACAATTATAAGACCAATCGGAACGTCCTCGGCTATTATCTATAATAACCTCGGAAACAATACGGAGTGAAAGTAGTTCTACCACGTGGTTACAGATGTAAACAGAAAATGTAAAAAGAAATGTATACATTTGATATCCAAAAGGAAAATAAAGTATGTTTCGGTACAATGATGATTGAAAACATTCCTGACAACAGTTTTTAATTATAAAATGCCCACTGATGTACAAATTTAATCAAATCCGACCTAATGTCAACAGGTATGCATTGTGTACTTTCGGTTTCTACAACCATACTAATAAATATGTAAATAATGTATTGTTTGCTTTTGTATCTATGAATTCACATATTTTAGGTGGACCTAAACTTGATATATTGGAAATAAACTTGTCAACAACTTTCAGCATTAAATAACAATTTGTTTACATGTTTTCTTTCTTAGCATAGGTTAGACCGAAAAATCGTATCTGTTCTGTGTATTCCTACTATTGTGTTCGAGGTCCTTATCCGAAGACTGACGAAAAGGGCCGAAAAGTTGCGATTGTGATAAGACACTATATTTTCATGAACCTGGAATTCTGACTCAAATAAGAGCATGAGATGGTAAAATTCGGTCATTAAAACAAGCCTATTTGACCAAAACGGTCTACAATTTACAATAAGCAAAAGCTGCTATTTTAAAATAAACAGTTTTCAATATTGAATATCGCCTTAGCAAGTGATAGGGTGCTTGAAGAATGTTACACTTTTCCATTAATCCCTTATGAACAAACAGATTCTGCAATTTCCACGTACCATTGTTTTTTAGAAACGTTTTTTTTTTGCATTTTGTAATTTGAAAAAAAGATGATGACATGAAATAAAAAAAAGATTCTAAATGATCACATTTTTCGCTTATAAGAATAAGGAAGAAAATATGCGTTAAACATTCGGACACTACAATAAAAAGGCAAATTAATGTGTTTATATTCTATACAACACGTGTTCGCATTCTGTTAGTAATTTATTAACAAATATTATCTACATGACACGAAAATATAAAATAAATTTTATTTACAAAAAGTAGACTTAAATCAAATAGAAATGAGTAGTAAGATATATTATAAATAAAAAAAGTATAAAAAAAACAACAAATATACTGAATAAAATTATCAGGATAAAAACATAGTCTACATTTTTTTAGTTAAGCATTGCTGGTTCTTTATTTCAACAGGACATAAGGTCATATTCATGCTTTGTAATCAAAAACAAAACATACTTGATAACAAGGTAAGATAGAAATGAAATATCTTCCTTTTAACATCAAGTGCAACAGATATGAAGATAATAAAGTTTTTACCGAGTGTAGCATTCACGACCACATTTCTCATTTAAATTTAAATTTTTCTTCCCCCTACAAGCCATCAGACGGTTTTATTAGTAGAATGGTTTGTGATATAAAATTATTCTTAATAACAGTAACAATCTTACGCAATCTAGTATTTACATAGAGTTAGTTTGAATGTGTAAATTTGAATTACTTGTTGAGTTATTTGCAAAATTTGATTTGACATACCTGAAAATATACATACATTAAAAGAATCACATATTTACAGCTCAAATTAGTCAAAGAAGTGTTACTAGAAGATGCAATGTTTTTTACCACTAGCTTACATTCTCATTAATGTTTGATCAGTAAAATGTTTATATTTAAATGTTAACTGTCAGTCACTATAAAAAACTTGTCTGTATTTATTTCAATTCCACTGTAATGGAAATCCTCAACACTTTTGTTTGATTTCTTGATGACTTCACAATAATCATCATCCTTTTTACTGTGTTTTATATTTTGTCCACTTTTTATCTCTGACTGAATTGCATAATTGTCCTCATTTCCAGTGTTTGGCTTAGACTCAGGATTTAAACATTTTCGTTTATTCACAATACTGTAACCGTTTTTATCTACCAGATTTGAACAATCCGGCGATACATCGAAACTGTTGCCACTATCGGAATATTTGTTTGAACACTTTTCTGTCTCAGGTTTTGAAGATTTTGTCAGAGTATTTACATTCAACGTAACTTGTTCATTCACTCCTACAGCTTCATGTTTAATATCAGCTGATCGTGTCTTTTTAACTTTGCTATAGTTATACTGGAGCTTATCACTTTTAGTCGTTTGTTTTCCACTATTCACATAGGTTTTACGGGGATTCTCAGATGAATCCGGCGCCTCTTTTCCTAAGCCCAACTGTGCAGAGGACTTGGTACCCACGTTGTTCTCTTCCACCTCAGATAGACGTAAAAATGGATTTTTCCTTGGAACAACACTACTCAGGCGAGAATAGCTATCCTCAAACGTTTTATAACTTTTATTGACAGCTGAATGAACATATTCCTCATCATTAAAAGTGCTTTTGGTGTGTTGTGTAGCCCTCTGGTCCGTATTTTTCAGTGTCAGTCTATTGTAAACATCTTCTTCATCTCTTAACTGTATGTGATTATAATTTGGATTGCCGGACAAAGTTGAAAACTCTGAAATTGCCGTAGCACGTTTGTAGGTTTTGTTTGCAATTTCGTGATTATTATTATCGTTAGCTCCCCGCGAAAATTTTTCTTCCTCTGACGACGGAACGTCAATTGGTATATCAATATCGACATAAGCTGGGTCTGATCTTTTTATAGCGTGACTTTCATTCAATTCAAAGATGCTTCTTTTTCTAGAGTTATCTTTTGCTGAAAGATGGTCATCAGAATCAATACCTTTGTAAGATTTGTTGAAGAGACCAAACATATGATGCTCTGTTGTTTCGTTGTAATCTTTCCTGGTCAGGTGATCAACATCTTCTGGTTCGTGCACTGCTCTGAAACACCTGCGATAATGTTACGTAATCAATAGTAAGAGAAATTATATTCAAATAGTCAACTTAAGTTGAAGAGTAAAATTTAGAAATGCATGGGTATGATACTCATGCATTTAACAACTAATCGGATTCTTTTTAACGTCTAGGAACAGTCAATATATTAAAATACTACGGAAATATTATAAAAATGAGTAGAACAAATCATATATCTATTTTAATTGTTATCCTTTGAACCAAGAAAATGTTGTAAGTAGAAATCGTTCGAAAATGTTATATGTTACAGTAACAGATAATTACCGTACAATCAAAACCGTTAGTATCACGAAACCAACAAGAGCTAAAATTGCGGCCGGAACCAAAATATATACTAGAAAGTTGTCTCGATCTGGAAAATTATATGAATTCAAAAGTTTTATTCAATACAAATTAATGATGTACATCGATTCTGGTATGTTGTCAATCACTTTATTTCTGAAATATATATTTTACAAAACGTTGTTACATAAACATTTAAACTTTATTCAGAAAGGTTAATGCTTAATTTTATTTACAATTAATTCTTTAATAATCGGAAAAGTATATTAAGAAGACTATTTATTACAACCAGTAACATTCATAATTTACTGACCTTTTGTATTTGTGGTATTCGTTTTCTCTGTGGTTGTGTTATGGACAACTGGTATAACATTAACAGTAGATATCACAACATTGGTGGAAGTTGAACTTGAATTATCCGTAGCTATCACGGTGTTTCCTGAAATATGTTTTCAAATATGATTGAGTAATAACTTTAATATTAATGCGATTGTAATATATAATATAACTATTTTCTAGATTTCAAAGCTGAACTAAAACATGCACATCAACGAAATGTTATGATATACATGTGGTTTTTAAAAATTAGTAAAGTTGTTTAAGCTTTTTGACTATTTAAAGCGGCACGCCTCCATTTTCATGCTAATTTTCATGAAAATTTTGAAAATATGTTTCAAAGTTTTATTTAGTGAAATAACTAAAAGGAAGCAATTTATACAATATCTATGGCACTAACAATCCACGTAAATTACTAAAAAGAGGACAAAATATGCAAAAATAGCCCTTACTGCGTTAGTAACGCAGTAGAAATATAGTTATAAATACAGAAAAATCGGTAATTAATCGCACATAACATGTAAATTATTACTGGAACTTTGAATCTTTACACTTTTCCAAAAATCTACGTACATTTTTCTCAGATTTGGTTTTATTGAAATAGTTTCGCTCATCTGGAGGCGTGCAACTTTTAAACCTTCCCTTACACATTCAAAAATAGGTTTCCATTGAATCTCAACACTTAAAACATAAAATAAAAATCATCCAATTTAATTTCATAATTGAATTTTATATGAATAACTTACCTTGGAGTAGAATAATCATTAGAATAGTAGAATAAATATATAAAAATCCATCCATGATAACCGATGATGTGACTTCCTATATTTTGCAACTTGGATGGTTCATTGTATGAGGAAGAAATGAAGTCTCATTGTTAACGAAAACCGTTTTGTAAAATAAGTTTGTAAAAAGTTATACACGGAAGATAATTTAAAGAAAACTAATACATTCGTTTCGTGATAAAACGAATTCTATTGTCAAGATGTTTTTTGTACATATTTTAAACTATCGTCTTGATTGACATATTTTGAGGAATTAAATGTGCTTAAGTTCAGTAACTCCATCAATATATTTTTCTAACATGTTAGTAACATTTGAATCAATTTGATGTCACATTCTCAGAGAAACCAGCTTGTTGAATAATAAATGTCATTCAAACAATTTATTTTCACTTATACATTAACAATTATACATGCATTTTATTACAATAAAAAGACGACATCGTTGCAGGTAATGTAAATATAAAGTGTTTTCTTTAATACGACTATTGACTTGTGAGCCATTGTATGAGATGCGATATTCCCCGACACACCGTCATATTATTCGGGGTAATACTATATGAATAGCCCAAGATTAAAATAATAACAACAGAAAAACCCTAAAAAAGAGAGCAACTTTCAACTTTCATGCAAGAGCGGGGAAATGAACACACAATAATAAAAGATGACGTCAGACGTTCATCAGCTCCGCTTTTAAGGGTCTTATTTTTTAGAGATTTAATATTGGCAGTATTTTTAAATATAAAGCAGTGTCTGTAAAATAGATGAAGTTTTATCAGAATTTTTTAGGAAACAGAAAATTTTACATGAAACAGTACAAACATGCTGAATAAATTGGTTTACAACATCTTCTTTGTTTAATGATATTAGTTAATTTAAAGCGTAGTTTTTGACGACAACTTCAAATCACTTGCCTTAACCGCTGTCAGTTGGACCCGCCAGAGACCTTTCATGTTGCTAAAGTTACAAGCCTCGTTAATACGTATTGTACTTAATCGATGAATTTGAAATCTTTGAAAAGCCTTAAAAATCAGGAAATGGGTAATCCTTCCAGTAAAATTAAAACAAAAACATATAGTTTAAAGTCTTAGAAGTTTTATTTAGTATAGCCATATGAGATAAACTAATGTATATATCTCCTACATACCTAAGTACAAACTAAGAAGGCATTCAATCTCCGTACTTAACACATTTGGATATTATCTTTCTGAAGTTACATATGAGCCGTGTCATGACAAAACCAACATAATGGGTTTGCGACCAGCATGGATCCAGACAAGCATGCGCATCCGCGCAGTCTGATCAGGATCCATGCTGTTCGCTCTCAGTTGCTCTACTTGTAATAGAGTTTGTAAGCGAACAGAATGGATCCCGATCAGACTGCGCGGATGCGCAGGCTGGTCTGGATCCATGCTGGTCGCAAACCCATCATGTTGGTTTTGTCACGACGCGGCTCAATTATTGTTTCTGTTTATATATTAACATGTATATAGAATCTACTTGCAATATAATATTATTATATCAGTTGGGTAGGAAACACATACATAACAATTAAAACACAAAAATGTCGGATTAAAATTCGAAAATAATATCGAACTTCCACTCAAAAATATGTATAATTTTAGTAATTCCACGGCAATAATTTCCACTAGAAAATTGGCTAAGATAGATTCTGCATACACTTTATAATGATTAAAAATTCATCTAAACATTACCCTGTCCGCTTTTGCGACTAAAAAGGGTATTGCAAAAACACAAGTAACGTGATAGTATGTCCATTCTTGCATGTAGATAGAAATATTTATTACAGGTTTTTCGGTGGTTTATAGAAATATATCAGTGATATAAAACTGATAATTTCACCTTTTCAAACAGTAAAATTATCAATTTGATAATTTCACTGTTTTCAGTTTTAGCCCCTTACCCTGTTTCAGTGAAATACCAGCGTGCACAGTACTGGGAACCAACTTAATGACATGACGTCGTAAGTGACGTCACGTTGTATTATTATTTGGCGCACTTTTCATTCACTATTAGGTTTAATGTCTTTTTAAAACGTTTCTTTGCATATAATAAAAAGAAAATTTGCTTAGTTTAGTGTAAGATCGAAATATATTTCACCTTGTGAGCACCAAAAGTTCATATTTCACTCGTGGCTGTGCCACTCGTGAAATATACCTTTTGGTGCTAACTCGGTGAAATATATTCCGATCTAACACTGAACTAAACAAATATCCTCTATATAATCGATATATTCATTAAGCGGAGACGTTTTTTAACTTATGGCGTCATGTTTGTTGTTTTTCAGTTTTTTTTGGTCTATAAACATTTTTTCCGTTCATTTTGTAATAATGCACCCGATTTTCCATTCTGTTTCATAAAGGAAATAGCGCGATGCATGTAAGAATATTTTTTATAATACTGCACTTTTGTAACGTCGCTTTTTATTGGATAATTGTGACGTTTATATAATTTTATATACACGCCTGTTGTCGATTCATAAATAAATCTTAATTTTTTCTCTAAAAAATGATGCTTGCTGTACTATAAATTCGTTATAAAGATTGCTGAAAGGTTATATGGCCGTATATAAACGCCTGTTTGCAATATAACCCTCGCCTAGCGGCTCGGGTTATATTTACAAACAGCCGTTTATATAGGGCCATATAACCTGTCAACAATCTTTATAACTAATAATATAACTCCCTCTATTTTTATTCCTAGTAGCACTTTTTAGTTTAAATTCTATTTTACATTTTGTTTGCAATGATTAGAGGATATACTTTTTATATATGTCATGACAGTACACGGAAAGATATAAACATTATAGGCTTAATTTCTTTAAATTGGTTAAAACAACAAATAAAAAAAGGAAGAAAAAAAAAAAGAAAAAAAACAAACATATGTATACAGTACTGCAGACGGCTATTCAAATGTTATGGTTTACGTATGTCCTTAAATTGATGTTCATCGAATCATGAAGATTAAAGAGTATATAGAACCTCAATACATTTACAATAGGTGGGAAGAAGCTTATTATATCAAACATTAGTATATAAATACAATGTACATACGATTCAAATTCATACAGTTAGATACAATGTTATTATTTATATATCAAATATAAGATGCAAGGCACACATATAATATATAGATAAATCAAACATATCATTAATTACATGTATATTACATGTATTTATCAACGCCATAAAAGGCATCAAACTAAATAGTTCAGTTAGACTACACATATATATTTTGTTACATAAACATTGTTTAGGTATGAGTTACATTAGTCTTTTTTCAAAATAAAATAGTCATGATGGTTATCGCCGTTTCTTTCTTCTACATCATACTTGTTCTCTGCTATTTGTGATTTGTTTTGGCCTATCGCTGTATGAGGATAATCAATTCTTTCATGTACATCAGGATTGGTTCCAACTGCGTTGATCAAATGCGAATAGTTGTCCGGCTTCATTGGGTCTGAAGTACCAGACTGAGCATGGTCGTAGTCAATGTCAAGATCGTCTTCAATTTCAAAAGGAAACTTTGGTTCCGCAGGTTCGGTTTTCTTATTGTTCTCCATTGATTCTTTTCTACAATTCTGGTTGACATTTTCTTCATTATTTTGTGTAACATGAGAGTAAGATTTATCGACAAAAGGAGCGGTTGATGGTTTTAAACGATCATAACCGAAATCGCGTTCTTGTTTGTCTTTACTCCTTGCATTTAAGACATTATACTCAGCTTTATCAGTATGAAGATGAATGTTACCATCAGCTATCACTGCATAATCACTGTCGGATGAAACTGGTTTCTGCTCACTGTTCAGCTCTGAGTTATGCCCTATGTACGTTTGGTTGCTGAAGGATTGACCTGAATGGCAAATTGTTTCCTGGGGCGTTTTTTTCTTTGTTTGTGCTTTCCTTAAAATTAATATAAAAAAGAGATACAAATTAACTATTATATGATATTTTATAAATGTGTGTGACATAAATAGCAGCATGTGACATCTTTCCATGCAGGTTTGATTATGTATTTATGTTCCTATCGGGCTCGGGTACCGACAGTTTCTCGGGACTTTGCAGAAATTATTACACGGGAAAACGTGCGTTTACCCTATATTATATACATTCTTGTCTTACTCATTCTGTTTACACCTATTATGACATTTATATTCATATAAATAAACATAATGTTTAAATTAATTAAAGGCGAAAATATTGAGTACGACTTAGTCTTTCTGTATTGTTTGTGCTGGCCTCTTCGTTCTTCGCTGATTTGTCTCATGAACATTTTTGTCAGATTCATTGACTCTCGGGAATTGGACCCTATTGAGAGCCCTGTTTACATCAAATCAAAGATAGAACGCACATACGTTGTTTGTTCAATTCATACAGTCCAGTATCATTTTATACGTATTTGAAAGTGTTTATAGCTATTTCTATCAATATAAGTGCCAATATATGCATAGGATTACAAACTTTGTAAAGGCTTATGTAAACAACAAATAATAAACATAATACAAAATACTGAAAAGCAGGGATAAAGATCTTCTGTGAAAAGATTTTCAAGGCTGCGAAATTTCTCTTCAGCATGTGAGCATTTGTGAAATATATTATAATCATTGTAAAGAAGCATTTTGTCATGCATACAAAAACTCAGACATAACTTATATAAGTTACACCAGGTTTTAGCCAAATGTCATTTTTTCGAGATACTTCTTGTTACTAATAAATCCATCGGTAGCAAGATATATTGGTCATTTATGCACCTTAGAAAGGAAGAACGTGACAACAACTTCATGTGTATCATACCTCCATAAAATAAATGCTACAACTCCAATCACTATGATTACGACAATTACAAGTGATACAAGAACATACACCAAGATCGGGGATTCATCTGAAAAGTGTAACAAAAATATAAATAAAATTCAGGCCTTATCAATTGCTGCCAAACAGTAAAATAAGTAAGACTTCATATAAGTAATATATGTGGTCTAAAATTTATAAAATATATGGAACTTTTTCAATGGTGGCAGATGTCATGTTTTTATTTTCATGTTCCATTTTTACTGTTATAGTTATATTTGATTCAACAGTTTTTCTATTTCTACCTCGACACATTTATTCTAGGATGCATGTAATGGAGATGATCAAGATATCCAAATATGTAATACGAATGCTGTTGATGATGAATACCACTTGCCCGTTTATCTATATATAAAGTAATTGTCGCCTCTTTCATTAATAATCATAACATAAAATTTATATGTTGATGACAAGCACTTTAGGGTATATGGACAGTATATGTATTTGTTCTATGCGAAAGTTATAGTGCATTGATAAACACACAGAGAACGGTCACGTTATGAATCAAGGAAAAATTACCTTTAGTACAAACACCTTGCTTTACACTTATATCATCAATGGCTATGTCTCCAGTATTATCATCCCTTATTACACCTTCAACTATCATCTAAGTAAGAATGTTCATAATTAACATATAAGTATTTAGTGTCATGTATATGCTTTTTAATTTGTTCTATAACTTAACAAAATATGTAAAGTTTTTTAATAGGAATAGAATAAACATGTCTGAAAATGCTATTGTTAAGATAGAAAATATAAATGAAAATTCTACATAACAAAATGGTTATACTACTTTATGTATATGGTGATTCCGCTTTGTCAGCCGTGTTTGTTTTAATCTAGTCGGTCCAAAGTGAAAGTAGGCCAAAATTCACAAAAAAGTTCATAATGCAAAATTATGAAAGAACACTTCCAGGTCTATGTTTTAAGGACTATTATAAACAAAAATAAAAGTTTGATGCACATTTCATGAACAGCAAAATTCAGTTTAAAGTCTGTTTTAGTACAGAAAACTGCTATTTCTTTGCAGCAAATACAAACAACTTTAAAAGCTTAATTCCAAATAGAGCAGAATCTCATGTCCTTATAAGCACATGTCCACCCTCCAGTATTATTTGTAAAAAAGTAGTGCAAGAAGACACACACCATCTTTAGCCTTATGAACTACAAGTAACATAAAAACACATTCAAATTTTAAAATTGAACCTTTCTATTGTGTAACAGTTACTTTTTTACACTTTGCTTTTTTCAAGGTCAGTTAAACTACTTTCCCTAGATTTAGGTTATTGCAAAGTTTTTTGTATTTGTTGCAAAAAAAATAACATTTGTCTGCACCAAACTGACTCTAACCTGGATTTTGCCAATCATGAAATGTGAATAAAACTTGACAGCAGATTGTACTTGGTTTAAAGCAATGTAGCTCTTTCTATGAAAAATATCTTATTGTTATCATTTTTATCATTTTTATTATATGATTTGTTTGCTGTATGAATTTTGGTCTGCTTTAACTCTGGACAGATTTATTGAAAACAAACATGGCTGACATAAATCGTGTACCATTGTACATACATCTACAATTGATTTCTGCCTTTTTTGTTTTAATTATGTTGAGTTATCATTTATAGATGACTTGTCATTGATTCGTTCGAAGAATCAATTTAACTGTTTAGTTAGAACAAATTTGATACAATACATTCGAATCGCGGGCTCTTTTTAAAACTCTGAATTTGATCTGATATATAGCACATTGATAGCATATTTCTTATATATTATACATTAATATTAAAATGTACGACTAGATAATAACAGCCATACTAGTGGGGCGGAAAATTGAGAAAATAATGCAAATTGTGATACAAGCATGAAACTTTCAGGAAATCATCTTTAGACCATGTAGATTTCAAAAGTGAAGTGGGCCCAAAAATATCTCTGCTCATTCAAGATGGCCGCCATTTTCAAAATGGCTGCCATATAAATTTGAGTACATTCTAGCTCATTCATTCCAATTTTTTGTACAGACCTTTAACTCACACCAAAAGCATGCATATAATTTCTCCTTTTCAAAAATTTAAATCTCACAAAATTTCTCTTTCATACTTCTTCCAAATCCAAGATGGCGTCCAATATGGCCGTCGATTTTGTGCAAAACTGTTATATCATTTTTATAGTATAATTTGTTGCACAAATTATGTTTATTATGATAAAAAAAGTGTTTAAACATATCAGAGATAATCAAATTATATGTAAATCTCAATAAAAGTAAACATTTAAAAAGTTTTTGTCTAAAAATATCTTTAAAAAAGATCAAGAAAAAATTCCATTTTTTTCATATTTTTCAAATTTGATTTTCTAAAGTAATGTACAAAGTTAAAAAAGTTACTTTATATCTTAAACTGTATTTGACATTCCATTAATATCATGTGTTTATTGTAAAGAATGTAAGAAAAGCATTAAATCTGTAGGTTTTATATTTTGTGAAAGTGGGTGGGGTAATTTTATATGATAATTGTGAAAGAAAAAACAACAGAAAATCTACATAGCTAAGTTCATTCTATTTCTTTGCCTTTTTACTTTTCTATGAATTCTTATGCAAATGTTCCAACTTAAAAAGTACTTTTTATTGGATGAAAGTATTTTTGTCTTCCTTCGGGCCATTTGGTGGGTGAGCAAGAAATGCACATACAAACATGTGTATACATTCAGTTATTAAATTTGGTTGCATGATAATTCTTGTTTCAATATATTTGATATCATATATTAATTGTTAATCGTAAAGACATATAAGAAGACAATAAATCAACTAAACGTGCTTAAAATAGCAAACATGTACTTGAATGTAAGGTATAAAGGTAGTCTATAAACGCATATTTTTGACTCCTCCACAATTTTATATTTATAATATAAACATGGCTTAAAAGCCAACAAAATGTATGTGATGTGAAACATATATATCAATGATATGGCCTGGCCTGCATGTAACTTTTTGAAAAGTTAAGATACAAACTAAATGTACTAGTATTTCCTAAAGTAATCATATCTTTTTTTCTTCTTTCAATAAGAGGGTAATGATGACCCTGGATCACTCACCTAAGATCATTGTTGGAAAAAAAGGTAACAATATCATTTTGGGAGTGTCAATTATGTCATAACACACATGATTTGTGTCATAATTGAATCCGGTTTCTTTTAAAGAAACATGCTCAATATCTGCTTTCATTTTTTTTTATTTCAAACGAGAGAACTTTAATAACCATATCTATATACGAGTCCAAATAAACTTAGTGACCTTTTGTGTTTGGTAAATTTGGACCATATTGTCCATGATATATCATTATTATAACATAATTATGATGATACATGATTAATGTATATGCGTCGGATAGTGTAGGTTAAGAGAAAACAGATTTATTACAGTAGTCTTTGTAAATTAAGTGATACCATTGCAAAACCATTTTAGACTGCAGTAGCATCATACAAATTTATGCATGTTATATCAGTCTACATCCCAAATATCTTATTTCAAGTCAATGAAGTTTAACACTAGATGTTTTTAATGTGTTTTCCTATACAAGTCTGTGAACCCAGGTGGCTCTATGAGCATGATTCATTAAATGTGTTAATAAAGACCCAAGGTGGTGCTACATGCCAGCTTAGTACCAGTGCTCTATGCATTTTGATTTTTGAGAAGATTTTTTTATTGCATGTACACTTAATGATACAAAAGTGTTTTATGTAACTTTTAAAGAGGTCTTCTTTACTTGGCAAGGTTATATTTTGACTATCTAAGCTCTAGGCATTACAGTTTGTTTGTTTGTTGATTTTTTTTAATAACATCAACAACAAAACAACTTCAATGCGATTCCCTACACAAGTCTTTAAAAACTGTGTTCCTCGTGAGGGCCTTTAAATAATGTTCCTGCAGTCCAAAATGGCTTTCCCGTCACTTAGTTTACATTGACTTATATATTAAAATTCTTCTCCGAAACTATGTGCACAGAGAAGAGAAAATATCGTATATCATAACATTGTGATGCTATTTAAAGATTATTAACTATTGGCATAGGGTCAAAGTCACTTAGTTGACATGGACTCTTACTGGAATATAGTTATATGAGTCTTCTTGTAGTTCTGAGAGCCTAGTTATTGGACATGATTCTTTAAATCATGACTGGCGAAAAAAAGATACTCCTTATATGATTTTAGCATTCTTCAGTATAAAAGAATTATAGACCTTTTCCAGCAGTGGGTCTTAGGCGCGTGATCTAGGGTCAACAATGCTCTCTTGTTTTATGGGAAAAATAAAGTAGGAACACATTTAGTTTATATTCCAAAGTATAAGCTATGTTTGTTATGTGAGTCAAGCGGTTTTATTGATACCTATTTTAGCACACCTAGTCATTAGATAATATGATGTATCAGTCGCCTAAATTTTTGTTTCTTTTGAAAATATCATGTCTACATAAGTTATTAGAAATGGACGGTACTTATTCAATTATACTTGGTTACAATGATGTGCAAGTAAATATAACTTTGAATCATTCTGTTACAAGCTTTTAGCAAGACTAAATTGTGCAGGAAATAATTGTATTCATAAATAGACAACATTTCACTAAGGTCCAGGCATGATTTTATCTAACATATGGTTCGTTGATGAATATTCAGTCTTCTTTCTGTACAATTATCAAGTTATATTATGACTATTGAAACAACTTATATCATGCAAACACATTTAATAACTGAATGTATACATATGATTGTATCTGTATTTATTGATATTTTAGTACAGCCTCTAGACCTGAAGGAAAACAAAAATACCTTCATACAATAACATACTTTTACAGTGAATATTTGCATAAGAATTCTTAACAAACGTTATTTTGTACTACAATTGTCTGATAAATTTACCCCACCCACTTTTAATAAGTATAAAACCTTCACATTTTTGTTTGTTTTTGTTACAATTATACAATAAAACATAGTGTTGATTGAATATCAAATACACTTTAAGAAACTATGTAACTTTTGGAATTTTGTACATAGACCTAGAAAACCATGTTAGAGAAAAATGAAAAAAATGGCACTTTTTCTTTGATTTTTTTAAAGATTTTTTTTGTACAAAAAACTAAAAACATGACTAACAATGTGGTTAACCTAAAATTTGATATTTTTTCTAATATATTTCACAATTTTATATGGAAATACGCATACCGTGTGCAAAAAATTATACTACAAAAGAGATATATCAGTTTTCATTAAAATTGGCAGCCATATTGGACGCCATCTTGGATTCTGAAGAAATATGCAAGAGAAATTGCTTAAAGATTTAAATTTTTGAAAAGGGGAAACTATATGCATGCTTTGGTGTAAGTTTCAGGTCTGTACAAAAAATTGGAATGAATGATCTATTATGTACATCAAATTTATATGGCGGCCATCTTGAAAATGGCGGCCATCTTGAATGAGCAGAGATATTTTTGGGCCCACTTCACTTTTGAAATCTACATGGTCTAAAGATAATTTCCTGAAAGTTTCATGCTTGTATCACAATTTGCACTATTTTGACAGCAGAGACCTTATTTCCCGCCCCACTATACCTCATAACCATGTTCTTGAAAAAATTGTGTTTGACTCTTCGTCCATTTATCACTCTGTCCTCCGCGTATAATATTAACACGTCGTTCAGTTTCAGCATGAGTTTTGATGTAGATATTTATAGTGTTATCACCATGCATATAATACCACAGTGTCAAACAAATATCACCGACCCCATCCTGTGCTACCGATATCTGAGCCTTTGTTCCATTTGTGCTGTGTAGTATGTAAAAGCCATCTACAGAGAAATCGACGATATCAATTGTAATGTATTTAACTTAGATGATTTTACAAATTAAAATATTGAAAAATGAACTTCTAAATATTGACGAGCGGAATGTCAGTGCTTGACATGCATATGTGAAATGCGCTTATCATATTATCTAATGAACGCTACTACATTCCATAACATTTTTATAAGCAAAAAGATTATAACAATACTTTTATCAACCCACTTATGTAAACATTTAACGGTCCTATTGTATGTCAATATAGATAATGAACTACATGTATTTCCCTTTGTCTGCGATATTTAAAGGCCTTTCTCTAGAACTGACATAATTATAGAGTTACCTACCTCCTTCAGTAAGGCCATTCCAAGGCCCCTTGAAAGCGTTACCGACCTGCTTTAGTATGATCATTTAAAGGCCCTCTACCTTCTTAAGTATGCTCGTTTAAAGACCCTACTACCGAGTTATCTACCTTTTTCAGTATGACCATTAAAAGGCCCATCTTCTGATCAATCACGAGGTTTCTGTCTTTTGTTTGCAACTTTTACCTGCTTTTACGAAGAGTTACTAACCGCCTTCAGTATGATCATGTTAAGTCAAATTTAAAGCGTTTCCTACCCTCTTTAGTATGATATTATTGAAAGGCCCTTTTAAAGCGTTACCTACATCCTTCAGTATTACCATTTATAGGTTCTACTAAAGAGTTACCTACCTCCATCTGTATGATCATTCAAGGGCCCTAATTTAGGTCCACCATGACGTCTCTGCCATTTGTTTGCACCGTTTACCTGCTCCCACGCACACAGGCCATTGTCAAAGTTACAATCTAAAGAAAAGTTATAAGATTATGAACTTTTCATGTTACGTATAAACATCCAGTAAAACAAATATCAAACAAATATTAACATTTTCTTTACTAATCTCATAAAGCGTAACAATTTTATGTCAAAAAAGAAGCTTTGATTGTTTGAAGAATGATACCGAATACTGATATTATCAAAGAATGTTGTGAACTTGTTTCTTTTAAAAACAGTTTTGCAATCCTTTATTTGAAAAAGTCAGTTCAGATGTTTGATATATAAATGGCTTTAAAAAGAATGAATACACATATTTGGTTACAAATGCGACCTCGTGTTGAATCTTTAAAAGAATTTACTAATACAATCAATCAAAGTGATCATTGTAATTAAGCAATTTGCTGATCTGCTTTGATTAACATGATTTGCTAAGTAAGAAAAAGAACTTGAAAAAAAATGTGTTGTTATATAGGATCGTACAACTACCTGCGTGGCATGTGTATATAGTGTCGTACTATTAATTACCCGCAGAACATGTGTATATAGGGTCGTTCTACTACCTGCATGGCTTGTGTATATAGGGTCGTTCTACTACCTGCATGGCTTGTGTATATAGGGTCGTTCTACTACCTGCATGGCTTGTGTATATAGGGTCGTTCTACTACCTGCATGGCTTGTGTATATAGGGCCGTTCTACTACCTGCATGGCTTGTGTTTATTGGGTCGTTCTACTACCTGCATGGCTTGTGTATATAGGGTTGTATTATTCATTACCTGCATGTCTTGTGTATTTTGGGTCGTACTACTACCCTACCTGCCTGACTTGTGTATATAGGGTCGTTCTACTACCTGCATGGCTTGTGTATATAGGGTTGTATTATTCATTACCTGCATGGCTTGTGTATATAGGGTCGTACTACTACCCTACCTGCATGGCTTGTGTATATAGGGTCGTTCTCCTACCTGCATGGCTTGTGTATATACGGTTGTACTATTAAATACCCGCAGAACATGTGTATATAGGGTCGTATTACTACCTGCATGGCTTGTATATATAGGATCGTTCTACTACCTGCATGGCTTGTGTATATAGGGTCGTACTATTAAATACCTGCAGAACATGTGTATATAGGGTCGCTCTTCAACCTGCATGGCTTGTGTATATAGGGTTGTTCTACTACCTGCATGGCTTGTATATATAGGGTCGTTCTACTACCTGCATGGCTTGTGTATATAGGGTCGTACTATTCATTACCTACATGGCTTGTGTATATAGGGCCGTTCTACTACCTGCATGGCTTGTGTTTATAGGGTCGTTCTACTACCTGCATGGCTTGTGTATATAGGGTTGTTCTACTACCTGCATGGCTTGTGTATATGGGGCACTATTACCTGCAGGGTTTGTGTATATAGGGTCGTTCTCCTACCAGCATGGCTTGTGTATATAGGGTCGTACTATAAAATACCTGCAGAACATGTGTATATAGGGTCGTACTACTACCTGCATGGCTTGTATATATAGGGTCGTTCTACTACCTGCATTGCTTGTATATAGGGTCGTACTATTCATTAACTGCATGGCTTTTGTATATAGGGTCGTTCTACAACCTGCATGGCTTGTGTATATAGGGTCGTACTATTCATTACCTGCATGGCTTGTGTATATAGGGCCGTTCTACTACCTGCATGGCTTGTGTTTATAGGGTCGTTCTACTACCTGCATGGCTTGTGTATATAGGGTTGTTCTACTACCTGCATGGCTTGTGTATATGGGGCACTATTACCTGCAGGGTTTGTGTATATAGGGTCGTTCTACTACCTGCATGGCCTGTGTATATAGGGTCGTACCACTACATGCATGGCTTGCGTATATAGGGTCGTACTACTTCCTGCATGGCTTGTGTATATAGGGTCGTTCTACTACCTGCATGGCTTGTGTATATAAAGTTTTTCTATTACCTGCATTGGCTTGTGTAAATAGGGTCGCACCACTACCTGCATGGCTTGTGTATATAGGGTCGTACTACTTCGTTTATGGCTTGTGTATATAGGGTTGTACTTTTACCTGAAGGGCATTTGTATATAGGGTCGTTCTACTACCTGCATGGCTTGAGTATATAGGGTCGTACTATTACCTGCAGGACTTGTGTATATAGGGTTGTTCTACTACCTACGTGGCTTGTGTATATAGGGTCGTTCTACAATACTGAATAAACTTAGCACAAATGTTGACTGGACCATAGCCTCTGTAACAGCATGCTCAATCGTTAATTTTCTGTTACCATGGCAATGGGGTGACGTCTCAAAATTGCAAAAAATTACTATTTTGCATTGTTTTTTCCCCATCAAAACTGCAACTTCTCAATGTAATTTCTCAAGATAGAATAAAAGGTTTTTCAATGACTGGTTGTCTTTAAAGCGCATTTTCAGCATGTAGTTTGTTTTTGTGACAATTAATATGATCACTGGCATGTTCGAAAACCTGGCCAAAATTCACATGCTGTTGATTATAGATGTCAAGGCCGCCATTTTATGTAAACGTTGCTTTTAAACAACATGCACGGTAAAAACAAGTCATTTTACAGGGGGTACAAACTTTTAGCAGTAGCAAAACATCTACAAGGTCTGAGCACAAGTTTCTTTTTTACATTTTGCATGTATAAGGGGTTGCTAAAGCAGAAACGGTGTTCCTTTAGCTAATATATTTGCAGGTATTTTTGCCAGAGGTACGAAATGTGTTGTTTTGGGTCTAGGACCACTGTAGTTTTTGGGCTTCAACGGAATGAATTGCAACTTTTTTGACTGCCTGCCTATTGCAGATGGGATGATTTCTTTGTAGATTTGCAATCTTATGTCATATGTATTCTCAACAAATGTGTTTTCTCTTTCCAGATTGTGTAGTTTGGTATCAGAATTATTAGACGTATTGCTTGTAGGACATTGACGGCAGGAACTTAAAATTAACTGTGGAGTGCTACCCTGGATTTCGTGGATTTTTTGAAGATAATATTTCAACGGTTACACCGTCAGAAATTACGGACTTGTGCCGAAATATTGGCCAGATGTATAAATTTAAAATTCAAATGTAATTTCGTATTCGTGTAATTGCAGTTCGTATTCGTCTAGGTGTATTCGCATAGATTTTATTTCAGTGTTGCGTAACCCATTTCGTAAGAAAGGACGTTCAAGATCATTAGTTAAAACTAAATTATTCAAATTGAAAAGGAAGAAGTATGCAACATATAAGATCTAATCACGTAGTTTAAACAAGAAGTGAAACAATTGATCCTCACATTCTGCTGTATCAAAATAAAAATGTTTAACTGTCAATTAAAAAGAAATAATTAAACTTGTTTAAATCAATTTAAATTTATGATTATAGATAAGAATTTAATGAATACGAATATAAATTAGTTAAAAAGAAATTGAAAGATAAACAGCGAATAAATATATAGGGCATATAGGGTGCTACAACTACCTGCTTCCTACTACTGCTGCTGCAGATGCTACTGCTACTACTCCTACTTCTACTACTACTACTATTTGCTTCTACTACTACCTGCAGGGCATGTGTATATAGAGTCTTAGTATTACCTGCAGGACACGTTGCTCCAGTAGTTATACGAACATCATCAACAGCTACATACCCATTATTGCCTTTGACAATCCCTTCTATTTCAACCTGGATAATATAATTTGGTTTCTTAACTAGCGGAATAATTAGTTTGCATGCCACCGGCATAAACAAGTCAATAATGATGATAACGTCGACTTTATATGAAATGTAACACACTTAGACAAGCCAAATCTTCCCCATTAACCTCAATACGTTTCCACAACTATAATTAATGCAAAAACAAAAATATCTTTTTCAAAATTATCCCTTATTTCATTTAGATATTTAAGTTATATGTTTCGCTATATCTCCACTGATCATGTCAATTATAATCATTTCTATCTAATTTTCGCTACAAATGATGGTTCTTTCTTTTTTGTAATTAAAATAACGAGCAAAATTCTGTTTATTTCTTAATGAAACTTATTTTATAAGCGTAGGTTTGATAAACTGCAGGCAAATGTCATTTGATCAATTTAACTTAAAATAAGACATCGATGAGAAATCATGTTTATAGTCTTATATGATCATTTTATTACCTCTCACCCTATGAAGCAAACCACTGGAGCACGAGCTTTTTTCCTGATATTGCGAAAACTCTATTATATGTACTAAAACACGTTTACCTGGAGATATTCTTTCCATTCTTTTAATGTTTGTCTCAAACAATCATTTCGGTTGAACTAAATGTTTGAAAAAGGGAGGAGTAAGTAGACAAAAAAGAAGCAGAGAAAGTCAGTAATTAGCGGTTCTAGAAAATGTATACACACTTTGTATAATGTCGTTGGATTAATATTGATGTAAATGTGCATCCACTTATATACCCCTGTGTTTTGCAATCTCTTTATCTGACGGGATTTCGAAGAAATATACACAATTATAGTGTAGTCATCGGTTTTTGATACAGAGTACCATAATCCTATGCATGCTCGTCCGCTGCTTATGTCTGGGCTACTGAATTTAGCACTTTTGGTTTGATTTTTTAATGCAATGTAGAATCCATCTGTTTGAAATAAAACATCTATATCATTTTCAAGATTTTTTCTCTCATAATTGATTTTGCTTCCGCAAAACAGTTTCACATTATTTTGTTTTTAATTGTATGACTTTTCTATCTGTAATAATTGTTTCCATTATATAACACTTGTTACATTCAAAATGTTATATTACATTCATAAACACACATCATATTTATAATTTTATGATAAATATTTTATAAACGGAACATGTGCTTTTTTATATTCAAAGACGTGAGCAATTTAGCTATTATCATGGAGGTCGATATCATCGTGTCAATCATTATACAATTATTGACTAGTGAGCCTTGAATATGATATGGTATTCACAGCTAAATGTTGCTATTTTAGATCATATTATAATAAGCATAATCTTACCACTGTCCGGTCTAGCTGATGGAAGTTTTCTTTCTAAATCAGTGTTGGTGGCATTTATTAGTTCCCAGCTGTCGTTCTCATTTTCCCAGTCACAATAACTTTCATAAAAATTGCATTCATGGCTTGATAATGCTAAATGATAATTTATCAATTAATAAATTAACAAATGTCCAATAATTGTGTTACATGATATGTACTAAAATATATGGATATTTGTTTTATTTAAGACAATCATTTAAGTAACATGGGCAGACGACAATGAGTAAATAGTGTTTACAGTTTAAGTAAACACTTTTGCATTATAAATATGTCTAATTTGAAATCATAAATAAGAAGGTCAGTCTAAAAATAAAATATTCGTAGGTATTATTAGAATATGTTTTATTGCATCCCGATTACTTGAATTTAATTCTTAGTTTTAAACGCGCCTACCGCGCGATTTAACCTTAATGTTTGTTCGTATAATTTACCTAAGGTGAATAATTAATAGAAAGAGCATCTCTGATTTGTAGAAGGGTATGGGGGCAGTTCCTCATTTAATTCTGGGTTTTACTTTTTGACGACAGGGTAAGAGTCATATTCAGAGGCCCGTTCATTGGTTACTTTTTCTGGTGTTTCATATTGTGACAACAACAGAGTACGTGTTTTTATTTTTGACTATGATACAAAAGAGAAATAATATCAAAACACTCGGCAATCTGATATATACCCGCTGGCTAGGGCCCCCTCATACAAATCAGATTTCTATTTCAATGACTTGAGGATGGTTTACAGTGAGGGAGAGAAATTATAATACGAAAATCATATGTGTTGCAGTGTGTTTAAAGTTAATCATCGTCAAATTCTAAATTTCTTGTTAGATGTTAAACAATATTTAGCTTCCTGGTTGATTATTCAACAAATTGTTTGCAATAATTTACATAAGTTAACGTTTTATTTGTTGATTTATCCAAATCGTCAGATGTACATGTAAACAACCCGCTTTATATGTCATTTAATTGCATACATACACGTACAATAGCTATCGGGTTTTCAGCGAATACATATACCGGATATTATTTTAAATATTTCGCTAAATAAAAGTATAGTTTACAATTAATTGTGTAAGCCTATATAGATATGAATCAATTTACATATACTGGTGTATAGACTGTTTTCATTTAGTGTGCAAGTTAACTTCATTTCAATTCACAAAATGAACAACAATATTGCTATTTTACTGACATCTATTGTTTTGATTAAAGACCAATGAATGCTGATAACTGTTCAATAAATAGTTTGAATATGTAAATGCACGGGAAGTAATAAACAAAAGATTTCAATAATACAGAAAGCAAAAGGTATTGTCTGTTATAGTATTGGGGTAAGGTACGGGTCAGGAATTGCAAGAAATCTTTTGCGTGTTGCAGAAAAATTACCAGAGACCTTGTTGGTTTAGATTGAGGTGACAAAAATATAAGGAGCATTATGGTTTAGGGCAACGGGATTAACATGTTTGGTGATTAAGTGAATAAGAATAACTTCTAAAGGGATGTGATGGGTAGAACTATATGTTTTAAGAATACAAGGAAGAATAAATTAGACTAACAGTGACACAAGATGTTTTGAGACATAAGGGATAAGCATCAAGGTGGTAAGGATCACACTGGGTATGTATCACTCATTGCACTTGTATCGCATCTAAAAATCTTCATTTACTTGTTAAATAAGATTTAATTGTAGATATTTTGAAATAGATGTTATTCAGTGTCATAATTAAAGTTGAATTAAAAAGTATTTGACGATGAAGATTATTTTTGATGTTAGTTAAATAATTAACGTTTACAATCACATTAAAAACCATTTTCTGCACAACTGTTTATGGAATAGGTTTGTTAGAAATTCATAACTTTAACTTCTACAGTGGTTTTAAATAGGTTCTGTTTTTAACCACGCAGTCGCAATTATTTTACAAGTTTATGACCATTATATCTACAAATAATGAACATTGTAAAAGGCTTTTAACAATAAGAGAACTTAAAAAAATCAATAAATCAATCAATGTTTCAAAACATAAATTGGATTATCTCACGGTGAATCAATATATTACACGTATTAAAAGAATCAGCTCTGTATATTATAAAACTATAGTTCCAAAATGTATCATTTTTCATATTCTATGTAGCTCTCTTCAATGACTGTTTTTATCTCCCGATATCAACGGTTTATTGATTAAATTTGAGTATTTTGATATGCGATGTTTTCTTTTTGTTTATTTAATTTTAAATATCTGAAGCAAGGCAAAAATAAATAATTTGTACACTTGACTGAATTTTCATAAGTCTTCCTGGAGACATACTACTTTAAGGTTTATTGCTAGCTATATTGTAATACGTATTTATAGAAATGTTTGACCTAAATGTCAAATATATAATAAATAAATATAAAGCGACATTTATTTAAATCACTGATAATCACTCAACAAATAAATCAATGAAATTTTGATTAATATGCTAACCTTTTACTGATAATCCTGAAAATAGGTAACAAAATGTTATCCATTTAAGGTATCCTGCCATATTTGAATTTATATTTCTAACTTGTGTAGAAAAATTTAGATCCTATATGGATATTAAGGAAGTTAAAATACCTATTTACATTAAACATATTAATTTCTCAAAACGTTTGTTGACGACACGCTAGGTACATCCGATATAGGGGAAATTAATTTAAGTGTTTTCAATTTTAAAATTGATGGAAAGATAGTATACACTTTAACAAAGAACGGGCATAATATAATATCAATTTACTAGTTTGATGTAAACATTGCTATTTACATTATTAATGGAGCAATTAATAAAAGATGTCTGCTTTTCAAACAAGGGTGAATCTTTGGCCGAGTGGTTAAGTCCTTTGACTTTACACTACTTCCGCCTCACCGAAATAGGCTCGTTTTCCGCCACTGACTTTGGATTCGTTCATATCAGGAATTTATCCAGCTAAATTACAGAGGGCCGGTGGTTCTACAAGGTGCTCGCTCTTGCCTGAAATAATTAACGGAGGGTCACCTGAAGTCTTTCTTCTCAAGTACAGCTTGAAAGTCGCCATATGACCTTTACAGTGTTGGCGCGACCTTACACCAAACAAAAACAAAATCTCATATCTAAATTTTAAAGCAATGTGTCAGTATGAACATATACTAAAAATTCTTTATCTTTTTATTAACTTGATTCTAATGTAACAGCAGGTTTGTTTCTGTCTCTATCTATCATATATGTATTACAGAAATGATCTTTTTTTAAGCAATATATTTTTTTATTTATACATAGTTCTATATTTACTATTTGTTATTTGTTCTTTCCGATCTATTTCATATAGTGTATATTTCATATTTTCAATCTGTCAACTATTACGATAGGTGTAGAATTATTCACTTTACAAGATAATAACGTTATGAACTTCTCAAAATATGAAAACAACTTAAAACCGAATAACATGCATTGTTCATGATTGTTATCATTATTTAGCCCGAAAAATGTGAACTTTGAACGATTAAAATTGGCATATGAAATGCTCTTTCTGCGTAAAGCTATTGCCACTTTTGAAAACTTGCTTTTTAGTACATGTAAGTCTATGAATATTTTGTTTTTATGATTTATATATATGTATTCGTCATTAAACTTGTAAATATGTACTTCTCTTCGTATTCGGATGTGAAGTTTAATTCTTACTTTGGTAACACGCTGTTCAGGAGAAAAGACTCTTTCAGGAAGGGCAACTTCCCGACCGAAATTCGACATTTCAGATATTGATCATGTTTGGTATGTGAACATGTTTCTTTAGTTTCAATCACATTCTTTTAAGTGTTAAATGTTTTGGCGGCCATCTTAATTAGATAGGAATAATAATATTTGAAGAGGTTGTAATGGTGTTGTTTGTCGACCAAGTTATTTATAAAATGTCATAAATCTGTTAAAATAAACAGCTGTAAGTGAGTCAAAAATATTTTCAGGATTATAAAATTTTTAAGATGCATACAAAAATAACAAAAGTCAAAATAATTTTTTGTTATTAGAAAATAAAAAAAAGAAAAGAAAACACACATAAACAAAACATAAACAAAAACTGTATTTATGTCTTTTCTAGAATAAAGTAATCATGATTTTCAGATTCATTACTTTGATTTTCAGGTTCATTACTTTGATTTTCAGGTTCATTATTTTCGTACATTTCTTTGGTTTGTGCGACATTGTAATAATCTGGTGCTTGATCTTCAAGTTGCTTTATCTTTGGTGTATGCTTTTCGAGTACCTTCTTCTCTTTTATGACTGAATTTTGGTACTCATCATAGTCGTGGTATTCTGTTTCCAAACGTTCTGGGAAATTCGTGCTTGTACCGACTCTATTGATATGCGAGTACTCTGTATTTTTCTCTATGTCCGATTGGGGGAGAAAATGTTGAGTGTGCTGGTATTTCATTTCAAGATCACCCATATGGGAATAGTCATCATGGTTAGTTGCTTCGGTCTTCATTCGTCTGGTACATGTACTGTCGTAGTCCAAGTCATGCTCGTCGCCACCTTTTAAATTCTTATTTAGAGCTTTAGCGCTTAGTACATTATATGTATTGCATTCATTTAAATCAATGCTACAAGCTGATTTATTGTAATCAGTGGATTTTGTTTGATTATCTTCCTTTGAGACACCGGGTTTCTTTTTTCCGGATCTATCAACGGTTGCGTAATAAACGGTACCTAAATTGTTATCGTCAGTTTGTTCTCCGGATATTGTTGCATATTCGTCATCAAGTTGAAGGCTTTCGTTACTATACATTTGGTTTGAATGACTCTCTCCTTGCAGAGAATCTCCAGACGGTACTTCTCGAGCTCTTCTGAAAGCTTTCAATACTTTCATGCAACTCAGATGTCTTCTCCTACAAGCAAATTCATCAATGAGGTAATCTGATTACATATTTAAAATAAAAGCAAAACAATCAAAGAGTAAATGCATTTTTTTGGATATTGACATCTGCAGGCACAGATGACGTATTTAGAGCTCGTGCCCCCGAGGGATAAGATAAATACGAAGACTCCTGCATATGTTAATGCAAGATGATAAAGTAGTATTGGTGCTTTGATTGCATACAGGTATACGTTTGTTTCCGTAACTTCGTTGTCGTCATTTGTTTCGTATAAGAGACCGGTTTTGTACAATCTGACTAAAGCCAAATATTTGTTTATTTTACGTATGATATAGGTCAATGCGTCATAGTAAGCTATTTTCAGTCAATCAATCATATCATCCTTTACAGAGATGCATTAAAATCATAATTATCAATAAAGTCAGACAAGTCAATGATTTTACGTTAGGAAATATATTAAATCGATAATTCAAACGTACTTTTGTGGCACGTTAGATTCTGCTATATTTGGAATCTTACAGCACGTATGACATTTTAAAGTTTACTCTATTGCTAAGAAATTAAATCAAATCTTTATGCATATATCTCACGAAACTTGCTGAAAATCTGTCGAAGATTCATAAATTGTGTGCAGTATGCAATTGACTTGTTAATAAAATCAAACAATAATTCAGGTTAAAGTATGTAAACAATTTACCTCATGTACACGACAGTAAAGGTAGCTGCAATCATGATGAAAACGACAGGAACCAAAACATACACGACGAGTAGAGGACTGCTGCTGTTTGTGTCAACTTCTGAAATTACAAAAGTGTGCTACCTTATCATTTAATTTACGACTAAATTAAAATGCACATATTTTGTGACATAAAAAGATATTTTAGTCATTTATTTTTGTACTAATTTTCTGTATAAACAACAGTTAAGAAATAAATTCAATTTCAATTTTCATATACGTGGCCTATGGGAAATTAACATTACACAAAAAGTGAGGGGTAATAATTATATCTGTTCAATTCACATTTTCACTGTTAAAGTAGTAGACATGCAACGATAGTAGTGTACATTTGTACAAAGTACATAATTTTTAACAGCAATTAGTTTTATATTTTATAACTGAAGATGTTAAACAGATATTTTGGTTTTGTTTTGGTTGTGAAGGAAGATTTAACTTTGGCAATGATATAGCAGTACATTGCCACAGTGTTTCGACATTGCATATTAAGACATATTGTGTATATGATTGATCTAAACGGTTGATTTTAAGGCTGAGTTTGGTGCAGTTTGTTTGTACCCTACACATTTTATCAACACTGGCACACAAATGTATCATGCTGAAAGGCGATCACCCTAGACAGTCAAATATATTCAACCAACCAATTATTGTTAATATTATTCATTATACTGTCACCTAACGCGTTCAGAATAATGTCCTTTCACGCACCATGCTCATCCATGTACTTATTTCGTTATGCATCATGTACAATCTTGTATTTATTGGGTCACACACCATGTTCAATCATGTACTTATTGGGTCACACAGCATGCTCAATTTTGTACTTTTGGTCACACACCATGTTCAATTATGTACTTATTGGGTCACAAATTTAGCATAATCATGTATTTATTGGAATAAATTAGGTCACACACCTTTCTCAGTCAAGTGCTTATTGGTTACACACATTATAGTCCATGATATACTCATTCATTTTGGAACATCTTTACTCTTTTACTGCATAATTATAATTATACAGCAATGCTGGTTTCAAGTATGCTGCACTAAACTTACGCTTCTGTATGAACATGGTGACTATTTGGCCTCACTCACACAGCAAGTTTATTGCAGTAGTATTGTCACAAATAATCTGGGCATTATTTTGAAGTATATTGTTAATTGCTGAAATCTGCTTAAGCTGGTGCAAGGGGGCGTGGACGATAACTTGTACTTTCCTGGGGTGAGTAACCAGAAGCATTCGTTAGAGTTACGATCATCGTTAAGCCTTGGTTAAGCTCTAGTTAGTAATTTACCCTCTAACCCAAAACGTTCGTAATATCAAAAATTGCAACTAAACTGTCGTTAATAACGAATACCTCGGAGTACATGTTAGATCTTCGTTGAAGGAAAAACAACGGATGAAGCTCTTTCAACAAACTTTTTATGAATATACATTATTTCTTATAGCGTATTTTCTTTCAATTTTCCTGATAATAAGTTTTTGATATGGTGTTACAATCTGTATATATCTTAATGTGTAAAGTTATTATTTATTTATTTATTTATTTATTATTATTATTATTATTATTATTATTACTGCATTCATTTTCAAAATAATTACGTTAATGTTAAAGTGACATTATGCCCATCTGCCATCCAAGGGTATGTAGTGTGTGAAAGGATGAAAATCAAAATAAGTTTTCATTTTGTCCTTATTCCTTTTAATTTTATAATTTAGTTCACATTAACAATAAATAACTCACAGATCCAAACGAAATTTCTGTAAATATCCATTAGAATTTACCCTTAACGCTAAGTTTAACAATAGTAATAAATAGCGCATAACGTACTCATTAAACGTGAGTGAGCATTTCTTTCGTAAATGATTTTTAGAATTATTCCAAACATCTTTATACAAGTGATGTTGTTTTTTTCATTCCGCAGACAATGGCCGTCATGCTGCTAGAAAATTTAGATAACTGGCATACTTTGGACTCTCAAATAAATATTTGACTGCTTCTAAGGAGGTTGATTTATTTCATTAATAAACGCCTTAGCTATCTTATGTGATAGTATTTTTTCTTATCTGTGTCATTTCCTCATATTTCCTTATTTCTCTAAACAAGCTAACACTATTTGTATTGCATGTTTAACTACGCATAACATTCTTTCATGTATGGAATCAAATATATAATATTACATTAAAGTTTCAAGTTTTTTATACTTAAAAGACTTATACCTTATACTACTAATTCTATGTACAAAGTGAAATTGAGGAATTCAGCATAAAAACATTCATGTACAATGAAAGAGCGTTACACAGTATATGGATAAATTTTGACGTTTTTGGTTAATACGAAATTATGAAATTATGTATAAGTATATTGATAAAACCTTTATATACGTTTCATATGGTTTAAATTAATGGTTTACCTCTATTTTCATGAAAAGTAAAGATAATTAATCGAAGCTTGCCTTGTTTCCAAATGTAATTTTCAAATTTTCACCAGTGTGTAACAAAGGCTATGTAAAGAACGTTTTACAGAAAAAGTTCATTCATTAAAATAAAAAAAATTACGTTACTATTTAGCGTCAATGTTTTTGAAAGAGTTCTTCGCAAGCATCGATTAAGATATTAGCGAAGATATTATTGATATTGGCCAATAATCATAAAGTTTTAAAATATTTTATTACCTTATTCTTAAAACTTTTTTTCACATTTATTAAAAAATTTGATAATTTTCATTCAAAGACAATGGCCACTTCTGTTCTCTGAGTTCTATAACTATCCTTCTATACGAGTATATGCTTCTTCTTTACTATAATTCTTGAGTGTTCATATCAAAAAGTTGAAACTACTTGTTCAGACTTAAGATCGAGTTTTTTTTTCCTTCCGTACCTTCTTTATATATAATCGCACATTTGTTGTAATTCTCATTTTTTTCGTCGTTTGTTGTATTTTCATTACTTATCTCACTCTTTCTGAGCGTAATTATATAATTATTTCATGTTAGTAACTAGTACACTTACAAGTACGTGTTGTTACATTACAATTTGCTTTATTTTTACAATTTACAGGAAAGAAATCTACATAAATCTTTGACTTCTTTTTCAATCCTGTTTATATAATGTTGTTGTATCATAATTGTATATGTTTGTATTATATGAAATAAATACCGTTTAAACCAAAAATAAATTAATACTTTGCCTTTAAAAGGAAATATAATTAACAATTTCTCTTAAATTGTGTATAAATCTTTATTTATGTACATTTCATCACAAAGAAATATCAAATCATATATTTATATTATTTTTTTAGCAGATAAGAGATTATTTTACTTTTTTCTAGCATTGTATATTTATATATCTCAAAAAGTATCTAAGTGTTATTGTTTTTTTATTTACTTTGCACTCTAAGATTTACTCTTGAATAGTGTACTCCTCTTTTTCATCACACACATATAACCTGTCAAGACCGAAATATTCTGCATCTTAAAGGTGAGATAATGAACTTATATCTAGTCTCTTCTTTTGTATTTTGTTGCAAATCCAAAATGTTCCGTTGTTTCCTGTCTATATATTTTGCTAGAACGTTGTATAATGCTTAACTTTATTGTATTGTATTGTATTGTATTGAAAAATTTAATTAATCTATACATCTGTATTAAAGAACATACAAATTCCATTAATCATTTTTATGTATATTGCAGATATTTTCTGAAGATATATCTGTGATATAAACATGTATATTTAATAACGTTTAATACAGTTTATCATCAACATAATAATATCATTTTTTTTATTTGAAATAACGTTCTAGTATAATTACCCGTGCTCGTACTATAAATGACGTCATTAAAATGTAACGTGACATTGTCTTCAAAGTTTATTTTAATTCATTGAAAATTTGTGTTTAAATTGTATTTTTTAAATTTTTATGCATTTCTATCAATGTATTATCATACTTAGTATGATGATGTACTATGTACATAATTATCAAAATAAAAAAATGTTCTGTTCTGTTCTATTCTGGACTATATACATACATACATGCAGTCAAACAAACAAAAAGATTTATAAAGAGTGTCAACTGTTTCTTTGAAACAGTTGTGCGTTCACAGATATATGGTTGTACATTTGTACAAACATTTTTAAACAATTTATAAAGAATTTATAAACAGTTAAAAAAAAATTATTTGTACGTACAATATAATCTATGCAGGAAAAGCTAATTAACAGGTGGTGCCAAAATGCTGTTTATACCCTTAACGATTACACAACGATTCCGTTAATGAATTTTACTAACGACTGATTAGCGATATGGTAACGATGCTTTCTGGTTATGCAACAAAAACAATCGTAAAAATAACTAACGTGTTCGTTACGCGATCGCTAACGCTTTCGTTAGCGTGATTTTAACGAAAGCTTCTGGTTACTGTACCGTCCATGAACAGGCTCAATCTAGCCGAGTCTGCAACATTTTCAATTATGTCGTGATGGGCTTTCTAAATGGATTCTGTTTTTCTCTATTTCATGAAGGAATAAGCAAAAATGTTTTTTATATATACATGTAACTTGGTTGTAAAGCAAATTTGTTTTAGTTATAGAATATATTTTGCTAGTATCATCATTAAATGTCTCTTATAAATCTATCGAGATTGGTCCAACATGTACATTTGTATTTTAGTATGATTGAATATTGTGATGTATTGTATATATAACATGCTTGGAATGAGACAATAAACTAAACTAAACATTAGAATGTCTTACCAACAAGTCTACAGTTTGCAGAGTTGTTTGACCATCCATCGAGAGTACATCTTACATTTGGTTCCCCATTCAAAATAAACCCAGTGTTACATTTTTTTCTGCCTACTTGTCCGAACGTTGTTCCATTTGGAGTTAAGAGTTTCCCGTTTGGAATTGAAAAGTTTCCGCAATCTGCACATAAAGTGACATAATATAAGTAACTTAAAATCAGATAATGATTAATAGGGACCGGTATAAATGAATTTATTAATGCGACAATAAATATTTGGTAATATTCTTACCCATAAAATTGCAGTATGCCGTTCTGTTTGACCAACCGTTAGCAGTGCATTTGATGTTTGGATCTCCGATCAAAACAAACCCAGTGTTGCACTTTTGTATGCCGCCATGTCCAAACCTTGTTCCATTTGGAGTAAACAGAGTTCCATTAGGAATTGTTAGATCCCCACAATCTATAAAAAGAATGACGAAAGTCTAACTAACAGGATATGAAATGAAAAAAATCAATTTATCCAGGATATCAATTGCATTGATTTAATTTAATTTTCAAGATAAATTGATCTATAAACAATGATAAATAAGTTGATACAAGTTTGCATTACAAACTTTTGATTACAATATGGAAATGCAAACTAGTGTATGTGAGACATACATCGCATACAGATAGACATATTGCATTTCCTTTAAAACATTTTGAACGTTTATATACCATGTGGAATACACGTTGCAGTTCCACTCCAATTTCCCTTCGTCTTACAAACGATCTCTGAATCTCCAACAAGATTGTATCCATTATTACATTGTATCTTTACCACTGATCCGTACCAATGATTTGATGAATTAGTGACGGCATTGGCTATTTCGAGATCCATACAATCTTAAATGCATTTTATCATAAAATGACAAAATGTAGTGACTACATTTACATTATGTTGAACAATATGTTTAAGAACATAATAAGTATCTAAATACAAGTAAAATTATTCTAAAAGCAAGTAAATGTCTTAGGTTGACGGAATGATCAATCATTGAGTGATTTAGTGTTCTTACATACATGAGTTAATGTTAAACTCAAGACTTAGAATTCGAAAAAGGCAAAATGAGAAGGTTTGTGTCGTTTATTATATATAATTTGTAATGAAGCATAATATAGCTGTCTTGATTAAAAACAAATATAATACCAATATACCAACACAGAACGCACACTGCTTTTTTATACAAAATTTAATGACATTTAATAACAAAACTTAAGGTTTAGTCAAATCTCTCCAGAGATTGGCATATAAGAATTAAAAACAACAGGAGTGTACAATTGTTTACTCCTATTTTAGTTTCACTCAAAATTAATACATTATCAGGAAAATATAAATATACAAACATGAAATTTATAATAAATGGCCTGCCAATAAGGCAACGGGAGCAAAAAGTACACAAAGACGATAATAATACATTTTCATATAGAGTCACTCGCCTTCAGTTTGTAAAATAGAATAAAATGAAATAAAAGTAAACTGTAGATACTGGTCAATTTTAATAGGAACTTTATTCAACATCATCACGTTTCACAACGGTGATTGGATTTGGGTTGTTATTCTAAAGAATCACTACTCAAGTAATACTTATCGCGTGTCAATATTGTACCTTCACGTTTTTGTTTGGTTTTAAGTCGGACAAACACTGTAAAGGACATGTTGCGTCTTTCATGACCGATGACTTATAAAAAAGCGATGAACTCTCATTATCTAATAAGTATATACAATCTTAAAAATTTACATTTACCTTGACAGGAAAACAATGTTACGTCATCAATCACTATGCCTCCTGAATACAACCATTTGTTTACTCTCCCCTCGACAGCTATCTTAATTGAAAACCAACAGCAACATATCTAACACATATTTCAATTATGCTGGCACAAGCAATTTACATGTTTATATTTTAAAAATATTTTTCTGTCATCTTCAATTAGGTTTTATTTATAAAAGTTAACATACATATGTATAAATGATATAATAACATTCTTTACAGAAAAGAATAACTAATGCATTGAAACATTCATGCAGTCATGTGTATAATTCTGCCTTTAGAACTTATGGCCGAAGACTCTGAGAACTCTGCATGTACTAAATTATTGTCAATAAATAAATTGCTATTGTAGAACATTTCAATTACTTATAAGGACGAATTTGCTTACTGTACATGTATGTATTATAAAGAAAGAGTATATGTTCTGTCTGAACAGTACCGCATTGAAACCGAGTGTCGTAGGTTCCTAACTTAAAAGGGTAATCCTTTTTTCTTGTTTTTCCTTCTTTTAAGATTATTATTTTATCTTATTGATCTGGTTTCGAAAGAAAAAAAATATTTTATTTTTATTATATCATTTTTAAGTTAATTTTGGCTACATAATGCTAAATTAAATAGGTATTAAACAGAATCGTGTATTGTATTCATGACCGATTTCCGAAAAACAGTTATAACAAAGAAAATGTTTGTTAATTTACATACATACATATTGCACATTTCAAGAAAAAATATTATGCTGCTGTTTCTTTTGTTTTTAATTTCAACTAATAAGCAAGGGTTTCATGCTAGCATCATCCACTTTAAAGGCAGTATAAGGTTATTATTTTATTTCTTAAAATAATCAATAGGAAATATTTTTAAGGATGTAATTACAGATAATTTAGTTTTCTCATTGAAGAAAGCTAGGCTTTAGTTCAGAAAAGTGTCCATTGTAAACCACACGATAAATTGTATCTAAAGTTTGCGTGCATGAGTTTTTTTTTTAATTAATACAACTGAAATATTTTGTCAATTCTTCAATCCCTTATAATGACCATAAAAGGATCATTCCTAAAATAGGTTAGAAAATGTTATAAATAACAATAAAATTAAATCAGCCTCACCTGAAAAACATCTGCTGAATATAAAAAAATCATTTTTTGAAACCAACGTTGGCCCTGGGCTGATTCAAGTGTAAAAATTGTTCGCTTTGAGCCGGTCGTATTCCATATTTGCAGGCGAAGTCTTACAATGTTGGAGCCATGCATGCCATACCAGAATGAGAGACAATATTTCCCAGCGTCCTGCTTGGGACTTAATAATATAGCTGTTTCCTTTCTAGATTTACCGATTGTGGCTATGTAGATATAGTGATCGTCTTTAAAAGAAAGCACAATACATCTATTTGTTTCATAAACAAAAAAAATAAATGTTTTGAAAATGTTTTCATGATCAATGTGGACAAAAATATAACATATTCATATTTGTGTTAGCATCCACATGGGATTAGATACTGCCAGCATAGCACAGTAATGAAAAGATCGGATAAATAATTTAGGGGTCGCCAGTTCAATCCTCGGACGAGCTCTTATTTCTCAGTGACAATTGATCTTGGGCATTGATTCTCATAGCCATTTTTCTCTCACCATTGATTCAGATATCATAAAGAATTTGTAGTCGGTCAACTTCAAAAAAATGGTTATATAACATTTACAAACGTTAATTTATATTACATTTTTCATTATGATTACGGAAGCCACGACAGCCTCGTTCGATTTAGTGCAGTCTTTTACATCCCAAAGATCAGAACCCTAGTTTTTTCACTACTTTCAAACCGAGTGTCCCGCGTCAGATCGTATTAGAAAACCGTAAATATATTCCCGCAAAACAGGCCACGCCCTGATTAAAACGTAATGAAAAGGTTATTGTACAAACCCACATGTCACAAAATCCGTTACAAAAAGAGCACAACGCGAAATACACAAGTCCAATGACGAACAATAAAGTTTCGCAATGTTTGTCATGTTTTATAGAGTTTGTCTCGTTTTAATACGGCTTGTTATGTTTCACATCTGTGGTTGAAATATTTTGATAATTCCTGCTTCCCTATTCCGGATCTTCGCGATTTATCATGCACCACATTTTTTGCCATGATGGTCTGAACCGTGATTGCCTTGGTCGTCGGGATTTTTAGTTTTGACCACTTCTGTGCCGTTTTATCACGGTTATATAGGCTATGGTCAAATGTAATGTTTCAAATATGGTGACGATTTTCTTTTCAATGTTTTATAATAGGTTGAGTTCTACTATGGTCTTACTCGGTTTGGTCGGTCTTGAAAGGTGTCAAAAAGTCTGGTTCCGGCATATAATCTTTAAGATCCATCATCACTTTACACCAGACATGTACAAGAACCAGGATGGCCTCCTAAACGGAGAAACTAATGTATCCATTACTAACCCGACCATAAATACTTATTCTGCAATTACCTCTTTTGACTAACTTTCGTTGACTAACTTTAATCCCGTTCTCTCCATAGCGTTGAAATGGAACATATAAGTTTATAATCAGATTGTGAAGTACAGAAGTGTCTGTGGTCTATTTCTTGTATATATAACTGTACTAAACATATGATATATTGAACACTCAATCATATCACATTGCAAATATTATATATGTTTGACAAGTATACGTTTTATAATTAGTGTAAATAAATAGAGAAATATATAATTTTATGTATAAAATAATTCAATTTTAGTATGCATTACATAGAGGATTTTTTTTTGCATGTAAAATCGAAAATTATTATTAAAATTATCAATACAATTTTGGTGCAATACTGATGAAATAAATTACGTATTTTTATTTTCCTTTTTTCTCTGTACACATAATTTTCACTCCAGTGAAACGTACTTTTTGTATTTTCACTGATGTCTTTCCCCTACTTTATTATTATTTTTATTGGTGTTGGTGATGATGATGATGATGACGATGATGATAATATGTATTGGATAATGCTACTGTTATTTTTATAATCATTATCTTTTTTTATTGTTCTAGATAACTTGTTGGCTAAAAAAGTAATGCTTTCTTGCTAATTCCCAGTGATGTATAGATAAAGTTAATGATATATTTGACATTGGGTATTTGGGTTCTTATCATTTTTTCTCTGCTTATATTGTAGGAAATATTAGTTCTATTTTATACCCGCTTTCTTTTTGATCCATATCTTTTGTTAATTACTTAACATTCACGTATTTTGCGTAAATTGTCGTGACGTTGGCGTCCTTAACGGACGTTGACGCTCAAATACTTTGTACGTTATTTCTGATTGAAGGAAACAGTCGAAACAAAGGTAAGATTAAAGCAACTATGTTTGGCTTTGGTATATTTTAACTGCCCTACTTTCTTCAGCCAGTTCAGTCAATACACTTAATTAAAGGAAACATCTTATTAATCGCAAGGTCAAAATGGTATATAATTAACAGAAAATGCAATTTTTTCAGGATACCACTCGATAAAAATAAATCCTGTATTTATAGAAAAACTTCAATATATTTCCATAGTGAACACCAGATAAATATAACGATCATAAGAGCCTGTGCTCACTAGTAAAATAGATTTTGATCTGATCTTACATAGAAAATAAGCTTTATTTCTTAAGGAAATCATCACCGATTTTTGCCGCTTAACAACATGGGCTCTCATTCAAGATGTCGTCAAATAATGAAGTCACTGTTTTTATTAAAACACTTGCAAATATCATATGTCTCCCAAAACTAGGAATGAAACTTATCACTCGTGAAAAGCTAAACAGGATATTTATATTTATAGCTCCGGTGACCATTTTGTGCAGCGAAGGAAATGTCCGTGCGATAGGCACAACTAGGAGGTACTGGTCACTCCTCTGAAGTTTTATAAAAATCCCAACAGCAGTTTGACCTGGGAAAACAAAACAGGATTTTTCTATTTTAACTTTGGCGACCATTTTGTGCAGTAAAGCAGAGTTGCCCGCGGTATGCACAACTATGGATGGTACTGATCACTCCTGTCAAAATCCCGCCAACAGTTTGACCTGCAAAAGCTGGACAAAATTTAATATTTAAAAGTCTTGTCGCCATTTTTTGTCGCGAAACGTAAAGCGCCGGAAATATGCAAAACTATTTTATGGTACTGATCACTCTTGTGAAGCATCATTGAAATCCCGCCAGCAGTTTGACCTGTGAAAACCAAACAAAATATTTATCTTTTAAGCTCTAGCGGCCATTTTGTTTAGCGGAGCAGAATATGCCGGCAATAGGGATGGTACTGCCACTCCTGTGAAGTTTCATAGAGATCCATTCAGCAGTTTGACCTGTGAAAGCCTAACATGATGTTTCTATCTATTGCTTTGGCGGAAATTTTGTGCAGCGAAGCGGAATGTGCCAGCGATATGCACTCCTGTTAAATTTCATTAAGATGCTGCCAATAGTTTGACCTGTGAAAGCAGGACTATTTGAATGCAGACGGACAGAAGGCGAAAGCAATTTTTAGGAGACACAAATATTCTTTAAAATTTTAAGAAGTTTGTAACATTTTTGTAAACAATATGTGCAAATATTAATGTGCTTATCGTAAAAAAGTATATATAAATCTATATAAGACCCATGAAGGAATGTATTTTTGACGATATTTCACTTATTTCCGATATCAAAATATATAATTTTATTGTCCACGGAAGGTCATGTAATAAATTAATAAATTAATTCAAAAATACAGGACCAGATTAAGATGAGTTCAAAATGGTTTGCACTTCAGAGGCAGTTACATATTTGGTGATATTGATTTTTTTTTGATAAATTGAATAAAATTCAGTACAAGTAATAACTGCTATTGTTAATCGATAGCTGTGCGTTATTGGAGTACGATAATTTACACCAGGATTATTTTGCCTTGTTAAAAGACACGGAATTTGTATTATAAACGAGTATATATCATGTATGTCATAGCCTTGGTGCTGATGATGGTTTTTCTGTTCAAAGTAGAAAGAAGGATGCACACTTCAAAGGAATTATAAGAAATAAATGGGAATTTATATTGGCAGAGGTGAATATGGCATGGTTTAAAAGAGAAAGGGCAGGTCATCAGACAGACAGCGAGGTCTGAACACGAGGTCTTTTAATAAAGTAATTTAATGGGATGTTTTTGCCATATGCGTATTGCTTGGTCGCTGATGCCCAGGATCATGCACTGATGTTTACGGCCAAAAATTTTAAACAGTGAATTTATTTGTATTGATTTGTTTTTAAAGCCCTTTGGGGCGCATATTTTCAGTGCTAAAGTTTACTCATTTAAACATTTTCGAGCAGTCAATTTAATGACATTCACTTTAAGCCCAGTTTCGGGCGTATTTTCAGCCTCAATTTAGACGTATTTTAAGCCCTATTTGGGCGTATTGTTGCATGTGTACAGTTAACGGATTTTTCAAGGTCGCCCCTAACGACTTTTTGTTTGGTTATAACCTAGTGGGGATGATATGATGATTGCGGGATCCATATCCAAATACATCCAGACAGAAGAATATAGGGAATCTGATAATGCTTGTATATTTGTTGAATTAATTTTTGTTGTTAACTTGCATACAGTTTTATGTAATATTTTGGTCGATGGGATGTAGAGCAATGAAAGTGCTTTGATGAAAGCAGGACTTGCAAAAAATGTTTTCATTAGCTACAGCATAAGCGACTGGTCGTCCTCGAATCTCCTAAATAATGGCATCAGATTTTTTTTCCCGAAAGTAACCGTGCTTTGAAAAGTCGTGCTTTTATCCTTATGAAAAACGACATTATTTGTCATTCGTTTTTCTTGAGAAGGTATCTGATATTTGAAAACATATTTTATGTAATTTGTTACCTCCAGATGTGTGATCAGCGTTGGTTTCAATGTTTGGCGTTTTTTGTCTTTTCCAGTCGAAGTTATCACCATCAAATTGCATCCAGTTACAAAAGTCATCATTAAAGTCACAACCTAAAATTGATAAGAGAATTTCTTATCAATATAATTCTTTTGTTATCTGCAAATGAGTTATGCTTAAATAAAAGCAGTATGATATGTGAATTTGCTTAATTTTGATTGGCACTGGAAAAATTTATTCAACAGTTAAAGAGCATTCATTCCGTATTATCAATGATATAAAACTTCTTTTACAATAAGTTCACAATCCTCCTTATTTTAAACAAGTATTGAAACTACAAAATGTGTGATATCACAAATTTGTAACTTATATTTGTATTTTTCATTGAAAAAAAAACACACGTGATAAACCTGGTCTCAACTAATCCAAATATATATGCTGCTTAAGGAAATGTCGTCCATCTAGTTGTTGCACTTGCCCCTCACAGCTCTGGGATCGAATCCCGACTGGGATTTTGGATTCTTTCATGTGAGGAAGCTATTCAGCTAGCTTACAGAACGTCGGTGGTTCTACTCAGGTGCCCGTTCGTGCCTGAAATAATGCATGGAAGGGCACCTGAGGTCTTCCTACACTAGTAAAGCTGGAACGTCGCGATATGACCTATACTGAGTCGATGTGACGTAAAACCCAAAGCAAACAAACAAACCATCCCGTTTTTGGACCTAATGCTTTTGTATACTCCCTTAGTTTCAAATATGTTAACCCGTCTCATCCTCACACACACACACACGCACGCTCTATATAAACGCACCTAATATTCAAGTAAGTGTATTTTGTAAATGATAATTTTAAAATATAAATGATGACTTTACTTTTCAGACATAGGAAATTTATTTAACTCTTATGCTGATGTATTTGTATACTTTCAAAGTGTTGGCTGATAGAGTGATTGATGATTGTTGATTGATAATTGATCGATTAATTGATCGACTTCGGTGGATTTAATTACATGAAGGTAATATTTTATCATTATAAATAAAATCAGTTGAACTGTACACATATTTGTTTGTATAGAAGAGAAAAGAAATACATTTTCATTTCGTAAATAAACTTACCCGACAGTACCATATGGATTCCTTCCGTTAATTTCTCACAATTCGCTAACTATTTACACCGGAAGTAAGCTCTTCAATTAAACCCCTTACTTCCGCCACGTGTTAAAGATGTCAGTTTCCTTTTTTTTCGGCGACCAAATCGGTCGTGTTTTTTAACATTCTTCGCTTCAGTTATGGCTCAACTGTTTGTTGATACAAATAAATTACCAGAGGAAGGTGAAATTCCTCCTTCGGACTCGGAGTCTGGTACTTATACGCCGAAAACTCCACTTAAAAGACGTTCCAGATACGATGTTCTAGAAGAACAATGGAATCAAAAATTCTCAGCTCTGGAGTCGAGTATTTCGGGTAAATTGGATGGATTAGTTGCCAAAATCCAATCTGCTCAATCTCAGTGTAACTCTTCTTCGTCTAAATTTACGGAAAGACACGTGAAGAAAAAGAACAGTGTGCATCGTTCTAAGTTCGAGTCGGGCTCAGATTCTCTGTCGGACAGTGATTCAAATTCTAATCATCCTGGCTTGAACAGTGATATTTTGTCTATTCATGGAGATAATTTTTTTGTCAGATGAAGACAATGTTTCTATTAAGGGGAAAGTCGATGAAAAAGAACTTTCTGATTCAACTAAGAAATGTCTTTTTGACATTTTTGGTGAAGATGCTACAGTGAAGAAGTCCACCAAGAAGGAAGGTATTTCTGTGGACAATTCTCAGAAAGACGTCTTGAATGACAGTCTACATTCAACTTCTCCTAATTTTCTCTCTTCGTTTAATGAAGAAAATTTTGATTTTATATCCGGTAGATGAAGAAACGGAAATTTTTTGCAAGTTCCTACACTTGATCCTTTAATAGAAAAGTTTACTTGTTAACAGACATGGCAGTAAAGCGGCTTTTAAGAACAGTCAGGTTAAATGCTTGTTTTCTCAACCACATAAAACTGTAGAAAAAGTTTTCTTACCGTGGAGTCCAAGCAGCTCGTTTGGGTATTGTTATGCAACTTTATATGCAACAAGCTTTGGGAAATTTGGTTGAATTTGTTTCTTCTGATGACTTTTCAAAAGACAAAACAGTGAAATTTGTTAAAGACATTTTTGCTATGTCCACAAAGTGCCTTGATCAATTGGGTCGCTCCGCAGCTTTTCATCACATTGTACGTCGTACAGTAACTATGGCAGATACAGGCATGTATGATCTTTCCGATTACAAAGATTTTGCTACTTTACCATTAACTGGTGATGGTGTTTTTGGTAATGGACTTGAACCTTTATTTAAGGCAAGGAAGGACAAAAAGAAGCAGTTAGATAATATGTTACCTGAGCTGAAAAAGAGAGACAGGAAAAGAAGGCTCTCACCTGTTCGTTCTTCAAATGACACTAAACGTTTACGTAGGGCCATTCCAGCAACGCAAACAAGCAGTGGCTGGGACAATAATTTTCGTATCCCCAAGATTCCATCAGATAGTCATACAAGGGGCAACATTTCACTGGACAGTACAAGAAAAATTCCAAGCCCGATTTCTTTCCAAAACGTTCATATGAAGGAAAATGGGAAGATCAACTCAACAATGACCATGTTAGTACTCTAGCACGTTTTCCTCAAATTCCGGTAGGTGGTCGAATTTCACTCTTTGTAGAAAATTGGAAGAAAATAACAACAGACAAATGGGTTCTAGATGTAGTTCAGAATGGCTACAAACTAGAATTTCTAAAAATTCCACATTTCTTAGGAATAAAACAGACGAAAGTACCTTTCGATCAAGAAAATTTAATTCAAAAAGAAATAGAAGAACTTTTATTGAAAAACGCTATAGAAATAGTAGTCAAATCTCAGATTCTTACAGGTTTTTTACAGTACGTTGTTCCTAGTTCCAAAGAAAAATGGGGAAAATGAGACCTGTAATAAATTTAAAGCCATTGAACCGGTATTTGAGGAAAACTCACTTCAAAATGGATACTTTGCCAAAAGTTCTAAACCTGGTTCAAAAAGGAGATTATGCAATAAATCTGGACCTGAAAGACGGTTATTTTCATGTAAAAATGTTCAAGGGTCACAGAAAATATCTTCGTTTCTGTTTCAAAGGACAGGTGTACCTATTTCGAGTGCTATGCTTCAGCCCAACATCAGCTCCAAGGGTGTTTTGCAAAATAATGTCCGTCATAGTAGCACATCTCAGACAACAAGGTCTTTTTCTAACATCTTATCTGGACGATTGGTTAGCTGCCAATCGGACATTTTCAAAGATGATGTCAGATCGAAAGATTATTCTAGATCTCCTTTTTCAACTAGGGTTAATAGTAAACAAGAAAAAATCCTCTTTAGTTCCTTCTCAGATTTTCACTTACATAGGCGGCCTATTCGATATGATAAAGGGGTTAGTTTATCCAACACAAGAGAGAATTACAAACCTGAAACATGCAGTTCTAAAATTGTTACGAGGCTCGATTTCAGCAAAACAATATATGATTGTGTTGGGTATGATAGCCTCTTGTCTAGACTTAATTCCAAATGCAAAGTTGTTCATGAGACCCATACAGCTTCATTTGCTCAAGACTTGGAGTCTGGCAAGAATGCCTTTAAGTTTCAATATACCCTTAACTCCTATGCTACGATATCATCTCCATTGGTGGTTACAGGATCAGAACATTCTAAAGGGAAGATCTGTTCAACAGATTTCCTTTCCAGTATCTGTCACCACCGATGCGAGTGGGACTTGGGGCTGGGGCGGTCACATAAAATACTTTACAGTGCAAGGCCGTTGGTCAAAGATGGAAAAATTACTACACATAAACATTTTAGAAATGAAGGCGGTAATTCTGACAGTCCGCCACTTTCTGTCTGCTCTGAAAAACAAGAATGTATTGATACGGTCGGACAACACGTCAGTGTGTCAGTATATAAATCGCCAGGGGGGCACTCGTTGCCCTACACTTTGTCTGTTAACTTGGGAGTTATGGGAACTGGCATTGAATCACAATATTGTGTTGAAAGCAGTTCACATAATGGGGAAATTGCATTTTCTGGCAGATTTTCTGAGCTGACAGGAAGTGAGGGATACAGAATGGAGTCTGAACAAAACAGTGACATCTCAAATTTTCAATATTTGGGGTCAACCTCTGATAGATCTCTTTGCAACTCAAGAGAACAAACAGACAACACTGTTTTGCTCATGGCTTCCACAACCCCAAGCGTTTGCATTGGATGCCCTGTCTATTGCATGGCAGAACATGTATGCATATGCGTTCCCGCCAATACAGCTAATTCCGAAAGTATTGAACCATATGAAATTATTCAAGTGCAGACTGATTTTGATAGCCCCAAATTGGCCAAGACAGCACTGGTTTCCACAGCTGTTGAAATTGTTGATAGCAAAACCAATAAACCTCCCTGTGTCACAGAATCTATTGTCACAATGCAAGGGGAGAATACTTCATCAAAATCCTCAGAGTCTAAAGTTGACTGCATGGCTTCTATCGACAAAGTCTTCAGAGCAAAGGGATTTTCTGAAAGAACAAGAAATTTACTTGTCGCCTCATGGCGAAAAGGTACAAGGAGAGATTATAATTGCAAATTCAGAAAATTCAGTAATTGGTGTTGTAGACAACAGATTGATACGTTTTCAGCTTCTTTGAATGATTGTGCTGAATTTTTGACTTACCTTTATGACCAAGGGTTAAAAATATAAGACTATTACAGGTTATCGGTCTATGCTATCATCAATTTTACCTCCTGTGGAAAAATTTCAGATTGGTCAACACCCCTTTATTATTCGCCTTCTTAGAGGAATTTTTAATGAACGTCCACCTATTAGAAAATTAGTTCCTGAATGGGATTACCTCTTGTTTTAGAATGCCTGAAGAAGCCACCATTTGAACCGATGAAGGACGCATCTTTGAAGTTTATTACATGGAAGGTGTGTTTTTTGATAGCTATTTCCTGTTTTCGTCGTTGTAGTGATCTTCAAGCCTTGTATTTGGGAGAAGGTAACATAAACATTCAGAAGAAAGGAATAACTTTTATACGTTCAGGTTTAGCAAAACAAGATAGACCAAGTCATCATTCAAGAAAGATTTTCATTCCATCTTTTTTCGAGGGAAAATTTTTTAGACCCTAAGAGGGCTTTGACTTATTACTTGAAAAAGACTGAAAGTTTTAGAGTTAAAGACTCTAAAAATGAACTTAAACTTTTCTTAAGTGTTATTAAACCTCATCATCCAGTGACAAGTCAGACTATTTCTAAATGGTTAGTTAATATTATTAAGTATGCTTACAAAAATGAGTAAGAAATCTACTGGAAAAATTAAAGGTCACCAGACTAGAAGTATTGGGCCTCCTGGGCATTGTTCAAAGGTGCGTCATTGGATCAGGTACTGGATGCGGAAGATTGGTATTCAGAGACCACCTTCATTAAACATTATCTCAAAAACGTAGATACAAGTGTTTTGGATTTCAAGCAAATGTTGTTACAGAAGTTATTGTTTTTCACCAAGGTGGGTGTGTACAAAACTCTTTGTTTTTCCGGCGAATTGCGACTGGATGTTTTTGTAAATTTGAGTATTTACGGTTATTCTTGTACAGTTGGGATGAACTTATATATATTGTTGTGCAACTGTAAATAGTGGGTTAGCAGTTATACATGCTCAACTGGTATTGTTTTACTTAACATGGTGTGGAAATATTGGGAAACACTTTAGGTAAGTGTTTAATGTGTCTATTTTCATTGATATTAAAACAAGTTTATGTTTTATTAATGAATGTAATAGATATTTTTGAAAACTTAACTACCCACCTCCTTTCAGAACTGCTTTTTAATCTGGGTTAATCCATATGGTACTGTCGGGTAAGTTTATTTACGAAATGAAAATTGAAAATTTGTTTTCAAATTTAAGTTTTATGAGTAAATAATACTTACCCGACAGTACACTACCCACCCTAACCTACCCCTCTCTGTTTAAGTTTCAGGGCGATTTGGTCGCCTCATTTGAAACTGACATCTTTAACACGTGGCGGAAGTAAGGGGAGTTAATTGAAGAGCTTACTTCCGGTGTAAATAGTTTAGCGAATTGTGAGAAAATTAAAGGAAGGAATCCATATGGTACTGTCGGGTAAGTATTATTTACTCATAAAACTTAAATTTGAAAACAAATTTTCAATTTTGATCCATATATAGACGCAGTCGAGATCTAAGAAATAGAAATAGAACCTTACCAGACTATAATTGTAAACCGAAGTGGCTCCTAGTATATTACTAGCATAGTAATAAACCAATGTGGCTAAAAAAGAAGTGGCCTAAGTATGTTTTACTAGCATTTTAATTGTTTTTAACATGTTATAATTCGAGGAAAAAAATTTTTTTTTTAAGATTACTCAAAATGAAGTAAATATGTAGTATTACCTATGAAACACGTTCCAGATCTTATTTATAGAAATGTCATCTATTGCTATGTCCCCTCTATATCCGTCCCCGATTATTCCTTCAATCACGATCTGAATGTATAGCAACCAATGAAACTAAGTAAAATTGATATATACATCAATATCGACAGGTTTTTTTTATAATTCATTGACGCACAAATACACAAAGTGGCAATCATAAAGAAACATACTTGGTTCAATTTTGGAAATATTTTAAGGGGTACAGGAGATATATACAATATCTTCCGAATTGACAGGTATAAAAATATATTATACAAATTACTAAATTCATTTTAATTACATTGTATGTTTAAAGCATTAGTTTTTATGCTCATTATGAACTAATACACTGGATATGCTCATTTGTATATAATTTAATTTTCAGATATCACACATACTTGATATGAGTCATGAGCATTTATGTTCAAAACTGATTTCCACCAAGCAGGCACGCCTATGTCCTTGTTTTTTGAGAAGATAACGGTTTTGTTTCCGTCTTTCATTTTAATGTAAACGTTGAGGGCACCAATATCTCTACCGTACATACTGTACCAAAATGTTAAACAGTATTGACCTGATGACTGCATTGGACTCATAAGTCTTGCTATTTCACCTTTGTCATTATTGTATGAATCTACGTAGATGTAGTAACCCTCTACAAGAGAGAATTTATGTAAACATGCATGGTTTATACAATTAATTTATAAGATTTACTATTCTAAAATGTTTGAGTACTCTTTTGGTAAACATTCAAAGTTCTTTACCAGTCATAAACAATGCACAATTCTTGTTTATTCTTTATAAGTTTTTCATTTTGTTTTGTTATAACAAATGCAAATATTTAACAGTAGTATTAGTGATTACAAAGGCGATTGAAATATTACTACTGTTATTTTAAAGGTTAAGCATTTCTTCAATTCAAGCTGTAACAAATCTTACCTCCTGTGGTGTGATCATAAGAAGGGCCAGTATGCCAATAACCATTTAAACCTTTTATCCAGTTAAAATCGTCCGTGACATCTTGCTGCCAATCACAGAAGTTCATATCAAAATTACAATCTATGTCTGCAACTACTGTAACAAAGAAAGTATCCATTTTATGTGTGTAATATCAGTAACAAGTATATATCATGTTATAGACGAATCTATTGTAAACATTAACGTCAAGCAATATTTAAATTATATCTGATCAAATGTTACTATATCTACTTCGTTTTAAAGTAAACTTATCTAAATTTCGATGTACATTTAATTTTAAAACATGGCATTTTATTTCATTCACTGACAAAATTTATAATGTAAACTAACGGATAAACATAGCTATTACAATGGCTTATAAGACCCATATTTCCTACCCTTAGATTCCATAATATTTGTACTTTCAAACGGTATTTCATTTATTTGTTTTATTTATATTATATTAAATTATATACAGTTATATTTTAAAGGATTCACAATACATCGTTTTGCTTAAATGTAATCTTATTTAAAATATCTCATCAGTATATGTATATGTTAAAAAGCTTATCTGTTAGTAGATAATTTAGAACAGATGATCTTATAGTGACAGGATGATTTAACTTGCTTGATTTTGTATTTTCTGTTCGAAGGTCAGGAAATACAATGCTGACATTCAATTTCTGACACAGTCACAGAAGTTCTCAAAACAGCTTAAAACAAGCGATGTAAAAGAAAAAAATATTTTTATTTTGTTACAAGTATCCAATAAATTACAACGCATTCAAAGTTTACAAGTAGCGGTGGCTCATAGAATTGTCTATTAATGCACAATCACAAATTACGCGGATGAATATGATTTTATTCAATGAAAATGCTATTTTTAGCGATGTCGATTACCATATACTTCAGAGCGTATTACACAAATAAATCTGACTGTCGAGTAGTGGAATAAATACGTGTCGGACTATTTTGGCGAGAAAATTTTCGCTAAATTATCTTCATCAATGTTAAACAACAGGTTTATCGTGAAAAAATACCGCAAAATAAATAAGGATAACAAACTGTAAATGGAAATTCTAAATTTAGAATTATTTAATTTTATTCAGGCTTTTTCGTGGTGCAGAGGTAACACCCTCGTTTTGGGTGTGAGAGGTCTAGGGTTCAAATCCAACTCGAGGCAGTTGTTTTTTAAGTGTCATTTTTTAGGAAGTAGCCATGATATGCAGAGATGAAGTGTGGCTGTCATAAAAAATAAACATAAATGAATTGTTTTGATGCAGCTCTAGTCATGCAAAATTCCTTATGTATCAAACTCAAACTGTTATAGTAAAAAATCTAAACGCTGTCGCTGCATCTCGGTACATGTGCAAGATGAATTATAATATATAGAAATAAACTTATGCGGGAAAATACATACAGATATACAGAACAATTTAGATTGCAAAGATCAGAAAATACCACAGAGCTTGCAGCCCGTTGATTTTTTTTGTTGCTGCTTTTTTTTAAGATTTGTAAACCTGTTTACAAGAAGTCAGACAAATTTAAATTGCCGGTCCTTGTTTAGTATGACATATTTGGTGTTTTTTCTATTGAACTGTTCCAATATTCCTTACTGAATACTGCTAAACTACCTTTTAAATGTTGCCTGAAATTTAAATGTGTCTAACCTTATGTAGATACCCTGTTTATCTATTCTTTCTCCACAACTTATTTATTCTGCTGTTTCTGGTTGAAATTGCATGAGTTAGGCGATTTACACGGTATACTTATATTGCGATATTTTTCTAAAAATGTAATTTACTACTTTTAATTATTCAAACATTATATTTTGCTTAAGCCAGTGCTAGTGATTGAGATTTACTACTTCTGCTGATGATCAGCTTTAATCAAATTGAGAAGCAGATTCCCTTAAGAAGGCCCAACACGTCAAAATTGAAAATGTTGCAGACTTGGTTGATTGAGCCTGTTCACCGAAATTGAAACATTTCGATTTTGATGTTTAAACCTTATTTAAGTTTTCAATTTCATTTATTCGTGCTTTTTCTATTTTATTTTTTTCTGGATAGTATAGGTTTGTATTTGCCTATTCATGTATAGGAACTAGCTCTTGTAGAATTATTATCTTGCATACATATACACAATTTTGATGAGTTAAAAAACTAACTTGAAAAAACAAGCCTTTCTGAGAAAATGTCATAAATATCATATACTAGTAATAAAAAAGTAGGCATTCATTATATTTTAGGTATTGACAACCTGATCAAAATCAATCAATCAATCAACAGATCAATCAATTCCTAATAGACATGTATTGCTACATTTTTATAAACTGACCTATTTAATAGAAGTTTTTGTGTGACTTTTATTGTTAGGAAGACAAAAAATACATTTATAAAAGGAATAAAGAAATGGCTGGAAAATGGAAAACTCGCACTCTGTTGGATTCAAACGTATGTCCACAATGTACAAGCAGAAATTAATCAAAGTGCAAAATACAGATGGGCTTTATGTTGCTTTCAGCACATTAATTCACGTAAAATTATGTTTTTTATCAGCATGACATCCATGGACATATATGCAGTATGTACCTATTAAAAGAAACATAAGATAAATTCAATTATCCGGATATTTAAACAATAAAAAATCAGATAAATTCCTGTTGCATATAAAGTGAAATATCTTAATATCTAGACATTATCAATTTAGTTTAACACTACAAAGTACTTGTCTTGTGAAGTCGTAAAATGTAACAACTACTAATACAATACAATAGCCAGCCTGTCCAATAGATAAACTCCTCACATCGATAACTTTCCTTATCAGTATTTAGTGGCAAAGTGTAGATAGTTGATGCATATTAGCTGCAGATGTAAGGCCCATTTGGTACAATTTGCAAATGAGTATGTTGACATGAATGAGCTTAGATATTCGACACTACCTGTTTTCCCTCAGGCGGTGAAGAGGCTACTTTTTACCTTTCACTGGTAGACGGACGGCATGGAATACGATATTATCAAAAAAGTAGCTTCGCATTGTCAAGCGTCGTTTGAGATTGTCGCATGTCGTTTGAAATTGTTGCGCGTCAACCCTCAAACAAAACCGCGACAAGCGACATACTAATGTCAATAGAAAAATGCCGCTTCGCATTGTTGAGCGTCGTTTGAGATTGTCGCGTGTCGTTTAATAATGACGCCGTGGCATTTGCAGAATCGACACACGATAACGCGAAGTGACAACGCGACAACACGAAGCGACATAGCGACAATGCGATTTGACACTCGACAACGCGAAGTGACATAGCGATATATCGTGCTTTAATAGGCGATATTTTAAAGTGGATATCGCGACTATGTCGTTTGAGATTCATGCCGTCGTTTGCAATTGTCGGGTGTCACTTTGCAATATCGCTATGTCATTTCGCGTTGTCGTGTGTCGACCATGCAAACGCGACGGCGATATTATGAATGATTCCAACAGGATTCCGTACATGAATGCCTATGAAGAGATCTTGTATGCTTATGCGGTGATCACATATCTTATAATGGTAGGTTAAAGGCATGAAGTCGAGCAATCGAGAAAAACTGATCGTCAGTGTGTACCAGGCTTAAATGTTATTGATATCGATGAGTGCAAAATATATATAAATCTTAGGAAGATTCAATTGTCTGGAAAAAATATTTGATTTGAAAAAAACAACAACTTATGCAAAATGAGCTTGTTATCAAATAAAATCACAATAACGGTGAAAAGACATTTCGCCCAGATTCTATTGGATTTTAACAAATTTTCGTTGGTTTTAGTTTGAGTAAAGAAAATTGTAACTTACCTGTAACCCCTTTGCATATGAAAATATTAAGTATCAAATAAACATGTACACTAAAACTTGTCATCCTTTTCACCATACTGTCGCACTATAAACCTGAAAAAGGAAGTTATTACATTGATATCGATTTCTGTCTACAATCTAATAACTTTAAAAGATTTATTTTTGTGGTGTTTTATTGAGGGTACTTGAACGATGATACTTAAAACCATACAACAAACTCGTAAATATCTTCGTTGAAAAAGATTATCTGCTTAGTTATTTACTTTTTGAATTGCTATGATAGTAAAAAAATGAGAAACATATTTAGTTTAAGCAGCATCTCTAGTTATTTGTGATTTTCTAGTACAATGTGATTTATATTATCGATTCAACGGCAGATGATTCGGTTTTTGATAATTTATTGAGATGTCTTGCACAGGAATTTGAAACAAGTAGCTTCAACATTGTAACAAATTTGCTGACGCTTTACTTTAATATCAGAAATTATCAAAGAACAAATTATGATCGTAAAGATGTTAATAAATTATCTCAAGACGAGCATTACAGTTAATCATAACATAGCATTTAAATATATAAATACATGTATTAAAAGACGAGAATGTCACTCCAGATACTTATAAATACCACATGTCTCCTCTATGATAGTTTATGTTCAAATACAAAAAAGAGACTTGTATGTTTAATATATAAAAGGTGTTTATGTATTCGAACGTAGATAAACTTATATAACCAATTTTTCAAACATAGTTTAACATTGGTTAAATCAAGCGGTAATAGAAAACATGCGATTTGAAAGCGTTTTATTTGTCAAAGACAGAAGTGGATTTAAATTCAGGCAACAGGAATAAATACATAATATTTAAGAGTGAAACTTTTATTGCATTGTAAAAAAAAGATGTATTCTAAATATTGCAATCTAGGTTTGAGTATGTTCATGGTAAATGCAGGTTACAGCCCACGTTCATAGCACTATTCAACATTTACACACAGCAATGGTAAAATTTGGAATTTAGAATCTTAAGCAGATGTGTTTTTACGGCGGTGATCATGGAACGTTACACTTTTGTACCATTACACAAAAAGCGGCATTTGGTCCCGAAACAAACGAATGCGAGAGCCCTTAAAAAGAAAACAATTGGCGGAACAAAAAAAAAACATTGATAGGTCACAAAAGGATGAAGCTTGCATATCTTAAATCAAATTAAAAAAAGCAGACACCATATCTTAAGGGTAATTTTACTATTTTGAATAAGGAATAAAGGGACTACTAAATAAAAGAAAATAAAAAAAACACGTTACGATACCAGAAAATCAACAATATTTTGTGTCGGCAAAAAATAAAGTAGGGGCAGTATGTCAACAACTTTTAAAATAGACTCTTAGCTAGGCGTACAAAAAAGTACGATTTTTGAAAAGATATTTATTATGCATGAGAATATATGTCTTGTCAAGCAATAATACAGAAAATTAAAACAAATCACTAACCTGTTTCTTGCATTGAATAGAAATGATGGTTTAAAAAGATAAACAAACATTTACACGAATATTGTCAGTATCTTTTCTATATCCTCGTAAGTTACAAAAAGGAAGTTATTTTTTTTCTTTATTTACCTTGTGATACATAGTAGTTTTAATGAGCAGCTCTGTTGACAATTTTCATTGGCTCAGTAAGAGGATAACTACGTTTTGTTTTGAAGTACGTACTTTAACGTTCATATTGAAACGTTCATTTTGAAATGTAAGAAAACTGTATATTAGTGATACTAAACGGTCACTTAATTCAACGAGTAATTTAGCGGCATAAATAGAATCAGAAAATCTGTACTTGTTCCTATAGCCACATAAAACCAAAAGTAGGCACAGACGGTTGAGGCTTATTCCCAAATACAAAACACCTTAACATCTTGTTGATGAGAAATAAAAAATTACACATTTATGTACATTCGAAACTGATAGTAAAAAAATGATTTTGCTCAACCCAAAAAGCGAATATGTTTCCCTCGAATCAAAATTTCGAAGTGTATTTACATTAAAATAATATGTTATTACACTGTATGTATCTTCGATCTTATCATTTATCATGTTATATTCAGTGTGTTTGCCGTTTTGGAAGGCTATATCATCTTCATATTCCGTCATTTTCAAATACAACAGCTATTAGATTCGTCTTAATATAGTTCGATGCTATTACAGTAAATCGGAAAGAAACTGATAAGTTATGAATTTCTTGATTTTCGCTTTATAGGAATTTATGACAGTTTAACGAAAAATACTATGTACAGCACCTGTCATAATTGGTTTAAGTGGTGCATATACATGTAGATACTACTCGCTCTATCAAGAATATAAACAGTCTGAAGCAGTTAACTCCCCTGACCAATACAGAGATAGTTCATTCGAATCAATTTCACCATAGCAATGAGTTTTTTAATTGACGGCAACGCAATTCGATCATACGTTATCATGTTCAGACACACTAATTTTAACACCATATCTCTGATGTGATGAAGGTTGTAAGCAGCAATTGATATATACGATATACGTTTCTGAATGATTAAGATAATTACACGTGCGAGTGCGATGCGCTTGAAATAATTAACACATGTTGCAAATAGATGTAATTTCAAAATCTATTTAAGTTAAACATAAACAAAGTTAAATATCGATATAGAAATGATTGGCACTAAATAATCATATCACAGTACATCGTTTACGCAAGAGAAAATAAATCGGGGAAATTATACAACTCAACCCTTTTTATCATGCAAATAACAGCTCTTAAATATTATTTATTTTTATACCAGATACTGAGTACGCTACATACTATTTTTGACATTGAACTACTGCTTGTTAACTTATCTTACCATGTCTTATGAAATAAGGTAACACGTCAAGTACACATACACATAGCTGAATATGTTTTGTAATCAGATACATCAATCTTTCTGAACATATAAACCTTCTTTCTTGTTCTGTCTCTGCAACCACGAGCCAAATGACCTGCAGTTATACATATAAAGTATATTCTTCCATAAACTGTCAATTGGTTACGCTTTGAATTTGGGGAGACTTTAGGCTTAAACATTGATTTTTGAGGTTCGTTTGAAGTGACAGAACCTTGACTGCATTGCTCAGAAAATTGAGATTCATTTCTGTACTTTTTCTATCTTTCTTTTGTAAACAAAGTTTAATCTGATTAGCAAACTTTAAAAACTGTTCTCATTTAAAAATATTAAACGATTATTAAAATCGTCAAAGCATGATTTCATCTATCTCTATGCCCATCTTTTTGTTTATTGTTGTAATGAACTCAAAACCCGTTTTAGTTAACAGTATCCGAACTTCTATTTAAAACTGTTTTGTCAACTGCTAGCGTGTCACTAAAGTTTTAAATGCCTGTGTAAATCGCAAGCGTTTTGCTTGTTGAGAATGATGCGAGACTAACTACCCATAGTTTTGTCTAATCCTGAATGTAGACGAAACGTTTAAAAATGTTCTAAATGTGTATCTATATCATTGTTACTCTCTTCGAAATTCGAAGTTTCTGTCGAAAACTTTTATTATGAGAAACCTGCAGGCCTATATGACAGTAAAGTGCCAGCTTCGATTTTAATTTCAAACTAATCTCTTCAAACATCTTTCTTTTTCCTAACATTTTAACTCAAACAACTGGCTTTCTTTAAGCCCCTTCTGCTACCCGCTCTGTTCGTCCTTTCCATGCTCAAACATTTTACTTTAGTTTTTGTATACTTAACGTGGACAACCTCCACACGAAATCAGAAGAAAAGAGACCAAAGCGTCTTCGAGTTACTGTTGGAACAGGATTTTAGTGATAAAGGGCCCGATTACCTTGATCTTTGCCCCACTTCCACAAAATTAATAAAAGTCATCCACTAGTGATGACGAATCTACATAATTGGAACATCTTGGCTATTTTTCATAATAAACTCGGGCTTCATACGGATTGAAAGTAGTTCTTACACGTGCTTTTAAATGTAAACAAAAAAGAGAGTATAATCTGATAATGTAAAATAAATGTATATATTTGACATCCTAATGTAAATGAAGTATATTTCGGTAAAAAAAGAAATTGGTGATTTAATCTTGAATGCTTATAATAATTATTGTTGGCATCTAAATTTAATAAGAAAATTGTCATGTTAGAACAAAAACGAAATTCCATATGCATTTGATAAAATCATGTATATTTTAAGGCATTCGTGATTATAATTGTTCTTTTAATACAAACGAAACCTTGGTTTGAAATGTCAGTGTAATATTGTGAATGTTTAATGTTAACTTATCTCTGTCACTTGTATTATTAAATGTTTATACGGAAATTAAAACTAATGACGCTCGTGCATAAAATTTCTTAATTTAAAATTATATGATATTTAACTGAATAATATAATTTTCATTTCCTTCTAATAATCAAGTAAGCAACAGTCACTTGCAATGACAATAAAACACTTTAAATATCATTCAACAAGGAAACTACTGTTCAAATAGAACTTTTCAGTAAAATGTAAATGTAACGTTTACAACAAGTTAATTGCAAATGTCAACCAAAAATTATAATTGTTAGAAATAAACATAAACATGAAGCACAAAAGTATTGTTTTATAAGAAAGAAAAAAAAATAAATGAATACTTAATGGGCAAAATCATATCACATATGAAAAAAGTAATGCATGCATTGTTCATCAAGGTTATTTGCTCTATTATGTATATTAGCATTAAAAGTGAAATGTTGTCAGCACTTGTTTAAAACGAAACGTTGCATAGTTTTGTGGATTATTGTGCAGGAACACGCAGGCAGCGAGCAAGTAAATGTAAGTTTCCTTATAACATACTTACAATATTTATATTTCTCGTTTTATTTCTGTTTCATGCATCTACAATGACTACGAAACTTGTCGTTTTGATGAGAATTGATAAACCATTTAGTTCTACGGCCTTCATGGTCAATTCTTGCGCATCAAAACTCCAAACCGTACTTAATACCGCTCATTAAGATCAAAGTTTTTGTTTCTTATTCGGGCTTTTAGTGGTATCGGATTTCCAGAAGGAAAATGGCTTTTAAATTTGCTAATCGCACTCTCCAGAACTTGAATCTCCCCTCCAAAAGCGGGCGTTTCTTTTTTCGGACATTGATACATTTGTAATACACTTTTAGCATAACATACATCTAGCTTATGCAATCATACAACCAACACATTTACAAATCGATAAATAACATATAAGCATTTAGTAAGTGCCCTTTTTAAACACGTTCAAATTAATTTGTCTTACAAAAATATTAAATAAAAGTTGTCCATTTAAACTCATTTTCACTGTATATGGACCATTAATTTTGATAGTTGTTTTCATAAACGAATTTTAAATGTTTCGGCTAACAGGGTACAAAATTTAGATTGAAGAACTTTTCTCTGATAAATGTTGTGTTCTTTCCTGCTTAGAAATTAAAGATTATATTTCTAATTCAGATATTTTAAAATACCAAATGGTGACAATCATCAGCAAAAAAGGGTCTGGTCAGATCATACGTTTCTGAACGATTGTATTTGTTTAAATTTATGACTTTCTGATAATCAAATTTGATTTAATTGTTAACAGTCTTGAAATATGTCTTTATTATATAACATTGACACATTCTTTCAGATGTCAAAACTGTTGTTTGCTGTTTCATTCCTCTTGTCTTTGTCAATGACAACTGTTTCGGCATGCACCTGCGAACCGAGGACCTGGATAGAACAATTTTGCAACGACCCATTAGGTTAGTTGAAATATTTTTTTTATGTACACACAAAGCTAATCGGAATTTTCATTTTCTGTCGTGTGATTGATTTTCTTTTTGTTACAAGCAAATTCATTCTCTGAAGTCACATGATGAATAGAACATGTAACTGTTTACTACATCATATTATAAATATATATTTTTTTAATGCAAATAGGAGTTTAAGTATTTCAAAAACCGATTAAGCTTATGTTTGCTCCACTCCCCTTCCACTTCCCTCTGTAGAAAAGTTATTACTTTGAGCATGATTGAATATCCGTAGATCAGTCGGTTCATAGACAAGACCTAGACGGTACTACAACGTTAAAGCAGGCGTAATATTGTAATATAATAACACGTCAATATGCATGGCATTAGTTTTTGTTTGTATAGCTCAATATGGACAACATTGAACTAATAATCCAGGGATCTCTGTTAGGTCCTAGGTCGAGGTGTAATTTATCTGTGAAAATTGATCTCGGACATGGTGTCTAATGGTCATTTGTCTCTCATTGCTGATTGAAAATGCATGTATAAGTCGTCGGTCGTTTGCGGAGAAATAAGTAAATGCTGGTTAGTTATCGAGGTAAGCTTGTTTGACGGATCAACTGTCGAGATATGACTAAACTTGTGTTACAATCGACGTTAAGACCAGAAGAAACAAACGGGGCATAAAAATTAATGTTAAATAAGTATCTCTTGTCAATTTTTTACATCTTTATTCTTCAATCCCATTGACTTCATTTTATAAAATTAAATAAAACACAAAGTGTACCACTATCATTATATTACTATTATGAAAGTTTAATATCTTTTCAGCTGGGATATTTTACATTAAAGACGATGGTACTGTCACTGGGAACTGGAGAGTGTACGACGTCGACTTTGTAGTCCAATTCAGACCTTTTGTAAGTTTTATGACATCTGAAAAGTACTCATCATACTGAAGCTCACCATTCAAGAATATTATTATTTACAGAAACAAATTTTTGTCTCTTCTTAAACAAGACAAGATGGGATTATATTCTTTTTAAAACGACGTCATTATGCTTTTGTTTCTAAAATTTGATAAGAATCCTAATAAATAATGAAAAAGAATCGTTTTAAACCTTACCGAGCCTGCAATATTTTCGATTTCGTCAAGTTAAGCATTCTCGAAATCTTCTCATTTACCTGTTGA